GAACTCCTGGCATTCTCCGCACTTCACAAATAGGTTGACAGTTGCGACAAAACTATAGGAAGGTTTTCATTGGATGCAAGGAGGTTGTATTTTGCTCTTTCTGCTCATTAATCTCAACTTTGTTGAATACTTATTAATATTCGCTAGCATTTCTTTTTATGCTTTGAGGGTCCTTCATTGGTTACTTCTAGACGCGTCGCGAATATCTTTCTACTCTATTATTCTTGATATTATGAAGGAAAAATAACGAGTAAAGAACTTGTTTTTTATGAGCTTGTCCCTGAGCAGCATTTATAGTGTCTGAGTGAGGGCAGGCAGTGGTTTACCCACTATCCACTTCAAGAAAAAAGAAGACTCTAGTAAGTTCACACCTATCCATAACACTTTTAGCATTTTTCTTTGTTTTTACGACTCTTGGAGCGCTAGCGATCTAGGATGACTTTGATCCTATTCTTGTTAAACTACATTACATAACAATATGCCTTGTCGTTTTGATCAGGGGTGGGCTTGGCTTTTCCTTTTCCTCTATTTTTTTTCCTATTTTTCTTCTTTTGGCTGGTCCCTGTTATGTCATGAGCCAAAGCGTTCCCTTCGCCGCAAAGATGAGGAATGATTCCAGAAGATGGCTTTGTTTTCTTTTTAAATCAATGAAAAGAACGTGATATGCATGTATACAGAATACTCCATTATGCATACCATGCACGATGCATAACCACCCTTTCCTTCTCACTCTCCTAGAATAAAAATAAGTTCCTTGGCCATGGAGGCGGATCAGTTTTTTGCCATGTATTTTTTATTTTTTCCTTGTCATGCCAATAGCGTAACTAAGCTATCCTGGTCGCGCAATCTCGACCCACATTATTCTGAGTATTGGACAGATTTGGATCTTCTAGGGTACGTCAATCCTTTCGACGTGTCTTAGGGTCAATGTAACGTTTCTACGCGTTCATGGCCAAGGAAACAGTCTTTTTTTTTTTTTTTTTTTTTTTTGTACACAATTTTATTTCTCTGACAAACAGCATAGAGAAGTTATTTGGAAGTAAAAAGGGGACTACAGACCAAACTCTTCAGTGCACCATCCACCAGTCGCAGTCCGGTCCAGAACCTGGCTCTGCGCAACAATTGTCGCTGCTCTTCACAGCTTAAACGGAAGAAAATAAAACTAGATACGAATGAAGGGGATTCTTCCCATCCTCTCCATCATTGACAACCTCCTCCTTCCTAACAAACTCTCCAACAACCGCTCGTCAGCAGCGCGTGGGTCCTTGGTCGCCCCAGGGCACCTTCCTTCACAATGTGTGGCTAGCGAAGCGCCACACGGACAGAAACCATCGTGCGTGATGTAACCGTATCCTTGACTCCAGTCACCTCGGGGGCCTGTGTATTTGGATGTCTTGTTCTTGGCAGAGATACCCTGAGTCTGCTCCCACGCGATCGTCGCGGAGCACCGAGGTTTCCAGATCAGCTCCGAGGCCTCCAAGGAAACAGTCGTTGGCGACTTTTTTTTTTTTTTTGGGGGGGGGGGACCATACCTCTTAAGGGCTATAGAAATATAGTATCACGTGAATGTGAATGTGAATGCTGAGAGACAAATACAAGTAAGACAGAGAATTCTACTTTTCAAAGCAACTTCCTAGTTGGTCCAGTGGTCAGGATTTGTCGCTCTCACCGACAAGGCCCGGGTTCGATCCCCGGACTGGGAATATCTTTTGCCGTTTGTTAATCTGTCTGCTCAGCTATTTTTTTCATTCTGGGAGAGCAAGGGTCTCCATCTCGGCGTTTCTCTGTTCCGTTTCGAAAAGCCAGTTTATCTTGTTCTCATATTTCTTCCGGCGAGAATAATAAGCCGGTAGATTGATCCAGGGAATTCTTCCTTTCGCTTCTCTCGTTTATTCATTACGTATGTGGATTAGCAGATCTGTGAGCTCTACAGTTACCAGGCCGGCATTACTTTTTTCATGTGAGTCTTGGGAGAAGGGAGATCAATTATAATGTTTGCTCGAACAGCTCTCTGTTTCGACTTTACCCTTGTTTTTGCGATCAATTGAGGCACATACATACAACTAAATATCGTATTCATGTGGGTGATGCGGCTGTTTCGTTTTTAGTGCAAGATCGGGTTATTGCGATAGCCACACACTTTTCCCAAGTCATGGCTGTGTGTTATTTGTGGCGATGAGCTGAAAAGGAGATGGATGGATTGTCTGTTACCCATGACAAACGAGATATCTATGAGACCCTTTTTTTTTTTTTTTTTTTCTTTTTGGCTATGCAATGTGTCTGAAAAGAAGCCAAGAGGAGACGTGTTGCAAGCCGCGGACACCCAACTAACATACACAAATAACGAAATCCAGGTACAAGAGCAGAGACAGGAACAGGAACAGGAACGACAGAACAGGCAGAAAGTACAGCCATGTGTGTGCCTATGTCGAGTGGCTGTAGATAATACACTGATTGCAAAAATAGAGTTGAGTTGCTTTTTATGTGTGCCTGGATATGAAATTTGGAAATCTGAGAGCAGCACCTCCACAGCCTTCTTTGCTCTTCCCTTATTTCCCCCCTGTCTTCGTTTTGCAACAGCAGCAAAAGGCAAAGCAAGGCAGCCGGACAGTCAGCAAGGAGGTAAGCCATGAACGACTGGACTGACTAGGCAGAAAAAGTAGGGCCTGGCGAGGGCTTGACAAAGGTAAAACACACCTTGGCGGCTGTTAGACAACTAAAGGTGCTCCGTCGCGCATGCTAAATACTAAGAAGGAACGAATACGGACTAGGATGACCAAGAAACACTGCACCTCCTGGAGTTGAAGCGTACATCAATAAAGGGTTTCCACAGACACGAGATCTTTCATGGCTTCCCCTTTTTTTTGTCCAAATATCGTTTTTGTCAATAGACAATGGGAAAAGGTAATTAAGGTGTGCATGGATGACCTTGGACATCATGACCTCTTGAGAAAAAACAACAACAGGAGGAAGAGAATGATGGTGAATAAAGGAGAAAGCGCGGGGTTTGTCAACAAACAGTTGGACTAAAAAAAAAGCAGAGTACCTTGTTCGATCTGATGAGGACCGTCACCCCTATTTCAAGTTCAACCGGTCCTTTTTTCGTAGTGTAGAGAGAAGTCGTGCTCCCTTTTGTGCACAGGACACCACGTGTGTCGACTGTTGTGTTCCTCCCTATTAACCCTCTCTCTGCAGTGTCTTTGGACCTGCATTCGATAGCTCAAAGACACAGTCTGAACTGCTGGACCCGTGTTCTCAAAAAGGCATTTTTTTCATTCGTTCGAACAAGAATCGTTTAATGAGTACATTCATACTTGCAATTGAACCTTGTTTTCCTGGAGGCAAGGATTGGATGTTGCTGGTGAATAGATGCGGCAGGAAAAGCGGTGGAGGAGAGAAAGAAAGTGAGAGGGAAGAAGCAGACGAAGATAGGCTGGTGAGTATGGAATCCAGACGGCTGGGTGCTGGAGTTCTTTGTTTTGCATGTGTCTAGTTCTTTCTGGTGTCCTCGTCCAACAACCTCTTCATTTTTTTTTGTTTGTAGCATTGTTATTTACGTCGTTCTACCTGATAAGTACGCGACCCAGTCCATCGTCATATCTGTGCTCCTATGCTCTCTCTCTCGACCTCTCCTTGGGTGGGTTTGGCGTCTCATGGCAGGAATGATTCAGTAAATGTAATGAAGACAGACAACGAGGATAAATCACACATACAATGTATTATCCAAGACCGATCGGTACATCTCAGAGCCCAGGGTGTGCTAATTCGGGCTGCGGGGTGCAGGCAGGGGAACAAGGAACGAGGTAAGGGAACTGCAGTCCTACACATGTACTCACACACACGCACAGGTAATCCAACGAACGAGACAAAAACACGGCAGTGGCTAAATATTTCAAGACGCGATCCTCCTGTTGGTTATTATGGCTTGGCAGACAACGCCAGCTTGGCAGTGGAAAAATGAAAACAGCCCCTAGCGCCTCATAATGAGAGCAATGAATGTCCCTTGTGTCCTTTTCGTTACCGACGTGAGCTAGAGTATGCCTGTTTCTGGCTGTACTTTGCCTTTTGTCCTTTTTCATCAATTGCGGATTGTCAAGTCTAAAAGGCCAAGCAATTGGGCTTGACAGGCTTGGTTTTTATGGTTGGATTATAGAAGGCTTGACGGACAGATAGGCCAGGCAAGCACAATGTTGAACGGGGATGTATAGACATGTACTGTACATGTTCATGTAAAATAGTGCAGGGGAAGACGAATAATAAGCAGCAAACCTTCAATGGGGCAAGGGAGGGCATGTGTGATGCATATAGTTTTTCCCTGTGTTCCCTTGCTTTATCTGTTCCCATTTGCAGCTCGTCATGCACAGGAGTGGGATCGTGGCTGTCCTGTCCTGTCCTGTCTGTCGGCGAGTTCGTCTGTTCCAGGCAATGAGCAGACAAATAGACAAGAGACAGAAGAGAAACACACCCATACTCATTTTTCACATCGACCTTGCTCGCACAGTCCTTTGTTATGTTGTTATGACCTGTCTCCACTTTCCAGCCTGCTATTTTAAAACGGGTCGATCTGTCAGCCTCTGAACACATTTTTCTATTTCTTTGCCTTCTTTTCTTTTCTTTTCTTTTCTCCTCTTTCTTTATCTCACCCTGTTCCCTCTCCCCTCTCTTTCATCCACCGAACGCAGTGTCAATTTTTTTTCTTCTCCTTGTCTTTCGCACTTTCTTCTGTCCCTATTACTTCACTCGTATACCCCCACTTTATCATTCTCTCCACTCTCTCTTATCCTTTCAATTGCCACCAAACGAGCCATTCTCTCACTCCCTCTTCCACCTCTTCATTCACACCCTCATGCAACCCTCCTTAACGCCATAGATCTACCTCTCCTCAAAACAACTGCACACTCGTTCCATCACCGCCGACCACTGCCACCTCTCCTCTCTCTCTACATCATTTTGCATTCCCTGCCTCTCTATATATAGTTTAATACCTATTGCAACCAGCAATGGACTTTCTATACCGCGCCGTTCCTCATCGAATCCGCCGCCTCGTCTCCAACAAGGCCAAGGAAGGCAATGGCCCAGAGGACAGCTACCGACTCCGGAGGATGGAATCCCATGCCTCCATGTCCGTAACAAAGCGCCGGCGCATCTTCCTCAACCTCACCCCAGAGTCCATCGAGAGCGACCTGGACGCTCCCAACGTGTCCTTGCCGCATTACCCGACCAACAAAGTCACCACCTCGGTAAATACTATTCCCGCCCGCCCGCGGATAATACCCTGCTTTTTCCTTTTCTTTCTTTTTCTCTTTTGATTATGTCGTCGTCATACAATTGGGTCCGGCAGAGAGACCCTGAATCTCCGTGGCCCCGCTCTGGCGCTCAGCTATTATTGACTTTTTATTTTCAACATCCGTCGATGACTATCACGAGGCATGGATGTCATGGAATGTGTGCGATCCATTCGGGCCCGACTCCATCCAGTCCATACCCTAGCCCAGCAGGCAAAAGCTCAGGCTGGGTGAGAATGAGGGGTTGTCCTTCATTATTTGTGCCTGTGTATCCCTTTTACTTCGTTTGGATGCAACAAAGTCATGTCATTGTTGACAATGGGCCATTGTTTACTTGTCATCCTCTCCTCACCTCCTACTTCCTCACCCCCCCTCCTTTTTTTAACCCCATCCGTCACCTCGTGTCGCCCACCATTTGCATTGGCTCTGCGCAAAACGTGAAGAACAAAAAAAAAGAGGGTGCACACAAAACAATGACAAAAGCGACCGGACGCAAAAAAGATGTTCAAGAAAAGAGAGGCTAGGCGGATCGACCAGTAAAACACATGCTGCATCTTTTGCACAGTAATTATTATCGTCGTTTTTTTTTATTAGAGCGCTGCTCACAGAGGGAAGACCCCTCTTCTGCGGGCCGTCTCTCTTCCACGTTATCCCAAAAGCTCAATTGGCCTGGTCTATTCGGCGTCATTCCTCCATTATATCAGTAATCCAGTATTCCCTGCCTCCAACGCTGTTTTCGACTTGCGTGTCCCTGTCGACCTCCCCCTTCCCTTCTACTCCACTCACCTTGTTTTTGTGGCACCATCCACAACGAATCACTCAACCCTGCTCTCATATTCGACCATGCTCTCAACTACTGTTGCCTGTTTATGATAAAAAAACAGCCATCCTTTGCCAAGATTCATTTAGTAGAAGGATTGTAGTCGACGGTGGGAGAGGGCAGGAGTGTCGGTGGTATTCTTATGTGTCTGTGTGTGTATGTGTGCTCTGTGTGTTTGTTTATTAGATTACACACATATGTGGATATGAGTATGTATCCATGGGATCATCGTGTGGATGGTAGCGATAGCAGTCGGCGCCTCTCTCTCTCTCTTTGCGCTGCTCAACAGATCCGTCTTGTTATCGCATTTGCACTGTTTCCTCATCTTCCATGGTTGGAGGCAGAGAAAAGTGGATCCCTTTCCCTCGTTCTTTGTGCAACCAGAATCAATTAATCATCGATATTATTTTAAACCAAGCACTAATAACGAATGGTTTTCCATCCCATCGGACGGACTATCAATAGAAATACGACCTCTTTTCCTTCATACCCAAGAACCTGTTTGAGCAGTTCCGTCGTCTCGCCAACCTCTACTTCCTCTTCGTCGCCGGACTCTCTATCGCTCCTATTCTCGGAGGATTCGCACCCTTCCTCACCTTCCTGCCCCTCATCTTCATCATCACTGTGACGGCCATCAAGGATGCCATCGAGGACTGGAAACGCAGGAAATCTGACGAGGCCTTCAACAACGCCCCCACCATCCTCCTCCGCAACTGGACAAACACCAACATCAGCAGCAGCGGTTCCAGCAAACTACAGGCCATCCAATCGGCCATCAGCGCTTTCTTCCTCTGGAAAAAGCCCATGGCCAGGGGGCCTGGTCGGGCGGCCGCCATCAATGCCGCTGCTCAAACAGCCACCACGCCAAGCGGACGCTCAGACCAAAACTCTTACTTTGACGGACACTCGGGCCACGGCGAGACAACGGACGATCAGGATTCTGCTGGCAGGCCTGCTCGACGCATTCGTCGTAACATCCCTCACTCTGTCTTGAACCACACCGAATCTTATTCAGGAAAGACCAATGGAGCCAAGTGGGATGACTGTATCTGGCAGGATGTCAGGGTGGGCGACATTGTCTATCTGAAGAACGACGACCCTATTCCTGCCGACATTGTCATTCTCTCAACCTCAGAGCCCGATGGCCTCTGCTTTATCGAAACAAAGAATTTGGACGGAGAGACCAATCTTAAGATTCGTCGTGGACTGACTGCTACCAAGGGACTCCGGACACCGGCTGACATTGACAGGGCAGCATTCTATGTGGAATCAGAGGCACCTCACGCCAACCTCTACTCTTACCAAGGAGCGTTGAAGTGGCTGATTTCGGATGGTGCAGACATGCCAGCGCAGGATCGTGTTGTCCACAACAAAACCGAGTCAATCACCATCAACGAGATTCTGCTTCGCGGATGCGTCTTGAGGAACACGGATCATGTCATCGGCATGGTGCTCTTTTCTGGAACGGACACCAAGATCATGTTGAACTCGGGAGATACGCCCAGTAAACGCAGTCGTATCGAAAAGGATCTCAACTTCCATGTGAGTAGAGAAAGGGAATCTTTTGTGGCGAGTTGTGAGGACATTTTTTTTATCGAATGCCGTGTCGCAGTATTGACAGCATCGCTTCTATTTGAACATTAGATTGTCATGAACTTTATCATCTTGTTTGCGCTCTCCATCGGATCTGCTATCGCCAACGGTGTTATTTTTGCAGACACATCCAACAACTCTGCAACATATTTTGAGTTCGGAGCGGATGCCTCGACCCCCTTCATGTCTGCGTTCATCACCTTCTGGTACGTAAGGGTTCTAAGGACCATCATTTTGCCCCCAAACTCGTATGACAATATTAGCATGTCAAGTTGCTAACACAATGATCATCCGGTTTTTAGGTCGTGCTTGATTCTATACCAGAACATTGTCCCCATTTCCCTGTACATCAGTATCGAAATCGTCAAGACGGCTCAGGCATACTTCATTCACAAGGATATCGACATGTACGACGAGCGCGTCGATCAGGCCTGTACACCAAAGACCTGGAACATCTCGGACGATTTAGGACAGATCGAGTACATCTTTTCCGACAAGACCGGCACTCTGACCCAGAACGTGATGGAGTTTCAAAAATGTACCATTAACGGAATCGACTATGGTGTGGGCGAGACCGATGCGACTCGTGGACAAAAGATGAGCGGTGACGGAGAGTTTGAGCCCATGGAGTTCGAATCGGACGAGGACTACCTTATCAAGCTTGGTCAGGAACGTCTCAAGATGAAGGTGGCCATGGACCAGCTGTTCGACAACAGGTACTACTCAGACAAGACGACGTTTGTCGATTCCGATCTCTTTGCCGACATGGCCGACCCCACCTCCAAGCACGCCAAGGCCATTATGAACTTTTGGACTGCCCTTGCTGTGTGCCATACCGTCATCACTGAGCGGGATATCGACGTGGACCCATACAAGATCGAGTACAAAGCTCAGTCGCCCGATGAAGCTGCGTTGGTTTCGACAGCCCGCGATGTCGGATTCGTATTTCTGGAGAAGAAGGGTCCCATCATGAATCTGGAGATTATGGGTCAGCCCCGTTCCTACAAGGTCTTGAACATCCTGGAGTTCAACTCGAACAGGAAGCGCATGTCGATCATTCTGCGACCACCAGAGGGAGGAATCGTTCTCATCTGCAAAGGAGCCGACAGTGTGATCTACGAGCGTCTGGACAAGACTGATGAGCAGAGCAAGCTTCGTGAGGATACTCTTGTGGATCTGGAGCGCTTCGCTAACGAAGGTATGCTGTTGCTTTCGGGTTATTTTACAGGTTGCACGAAGGAAGCCATAGTTTTCTGATATGACGTCTCTATTTGTAAAATAGGTCTTCGTACTCTCTGCTTGGCTTACCGCAAGATCAGCGAGGAGGAGTACGCCAACTGGGTTCTCGACTATGACGAGGCTTGCAACACTATCCATAACCGCGACGAGAACATCGAGAACGCTTGCGAGGGTATCGAACACTCGTTGATTCTGCTTGGAGGAACTGCTATCGAGGATCGTCTCCAGGAGGGAGTTCCAGAGTGTATTGCCCTCTTATCGCGTGCTGGAATCAAGCTCTGGGTCCTCACAGGAGACAAAACCGAGACCGCCATCAACATTGGATTCGCCTGCAACTTGTTGCAGCGCGATATGATTCTCATCATCATTCAGGCACAGGACAAGGAGGACACGCGGGAGCAGCTCATGAAGGCGCTCGACAAATTCTGGGGTCGTGAGGCTGACAAGGATCCGTCCCTCGTCAACAAGACTCACGCCCTGATTATCGACGGAGAAACCCTCAAGTACGGACTGTCCCCTTCGCTCAACGGATTACTCCTAGATGTCAGCAAGCGATGCAAGTCTGTGATCTGTTGCCGTGTCTCCCCTCTACAGAAGGCCAAGGTTGTCAGCATGGTCAAGCGTGGTCTGGATGTCATGACCCTGTCAATCGGAGATGGAGCCAACGATGTGTCGATGATTCAGGAAGCCAACATTGGAGTCGGTATTGCCGGGGAGGAGGGCCGTCAGGCTGTCATGGCTTCGGATTTCGCCATCGCTCAGTTCCGTTTCTTGTCCAAGCTCCTTCTAGTCCACGGACGTTGGTCATACATTCGAATCTCGGAGATGATCTTGACCTTCTTCTACAAGAACGTTGTCTGGACCTTGACCATCTTTTGGTTCCAGTTCTTCTCTGGGTAAGACTTTGAGAAAGACAGGGCATATTAGCGCACACCTAAAATAACTGAATCAGCTCATCTAACTTTCTACTTTCTACTTTTTTTTTTGGCGTAACTTTAGGTTCACTGCCCTGCTTTTGTTCGACTACACCTTTGTGGTCCTGTACAACCTGTTGTTCACCTCATTGCCAATCATGTTTATGGGCGCCTTTGACCAGGATGTTGATGCAAAGACGTCGATGCAATTCCCCGCTCTCTACCTCCGCGGCATCAAGCAGAAGCACTTTACCCGTAGCAAGTTCTGGCTCTATGTCTTGGATGCGCTCTACCAGTCAATCGTCTGCTTCTTTGTCCCCTGGTACCTTTCGAACGACGTCTACGCAAGCGGCCGCAGCTCCAATGATTTGGTCGCCCTCGGTACCTTGATTTCTGCCTGCTCGGTCGTCGTCGCCAACCTGTATGTCGGTCTGAACATGTTCCACTGGACCAAGATGATCTTTACCGTGATCTTTGGATCTATCGTCGTGTTCTTCCTCTACTGCTGGGTCTACGCCAACTTTTTCACCATCGACAACGCTTTCTTCGGCATGGACGACATCATCCTCAACAGTCCCGCATTTTGGTTTGCGATCGTAATGTCAGTGATCTTGACTATGTTGCCCCACTACGTCTACAAGTTCGCCCGCCAGTACTTGAAGCCTAACGACATCATCATCGTCCGTGAGCAGCTTTACAGGGAGAAACACCCTTCCAAAAAGGAGCGTCGCGCCAGAAAGCTTAAGGCTATGGCTATCCGAGAGAGCGAGATGAATGGCACCACCAGCAGCTTCCAGGATCCAGGAATTACCAGCGGCAACCATGTCTTGGGAGACGACGATTTGGAGGACGATTTGGATCAGGTCCCCGTTATCCGCCATTCACCCACCATTCTTTCGCCTGAAGATCCCAACGAGCAGAAGCCTGGGGATATTCGCCAGCGTCAGCCCTCTCCCTCGCCCATGTCTAGTTTGAACAGGATGGATGAGGCCTACCACCTGAAGGTCTCATCTGATAGCTCTGGAGTCGCACCTTCATCACAGTTTCCCCAGCGTGAGCTGACAGGGCGGAGACGAGTTGTCAGCAACAACAACGCGGCTACTGGACCTTCAACAGCTGATCAGGATGTCTTTGGAGTTGAAATCGCCACCCCTACGGCTGCCTTCAAGAACAACAACGCCAAGTTTGCTGGTTCGTCGGCATCTCTGCCCATGAACCCGGATCTTCTTCAGCCAGACTCTTTGGAGCCACCCTTCAACCGCACGTTTGCTCAAGGGTACCCAACCACGTCGTTCTCATTCAACCAAGAGTTCATCAATGCCGCGTCGGAAGCTACGGGTGGCCTTGTTGGTGGATCTCCTGCTTCGGAGCGTCCTCGCGTCAAACGCCAGAGTACCCCCTCGATCCCTGTGGGTGGACCCAACTTCCGTTTCATGGGCAACGATGCACCCGCCATGCCAGGAGCACCGACAAGCCACAAGGCTGGGCATACAGGATTTGCCTTCTCGACTGATGATGCCTCTGCCTTCGTGTATTCGCATCTGAACCGTGTGCACAGCGCAAGTAATGACGAGCGGACGACTGCAGCCAAAGCCAAGCGAGCGTCTCAGATGCACTACGGCGGCAGGAACAGTATTGATGGCAGCGAGTTTGGATCTGGCTCTTTTGGAGGATCAGGACCCGCCTCTCCAGTCACATCTGGGCCGTCAGGCCGTGGACCCTTTGAGGGACCTTTTGATGGTTCGGGGACTTCTTCGCCACCTCCTCTTGGAGATACCACAGCAGTAGAGTCGCACAAACGGGATTCGTTGTCTAGGCGGCCGCGCGGACCGAGTCGGTCTATCACTTCGCCTGATATGCCTGTTGCAGAGCTGGGTGCGATGTTGTTGCAGCAGCAAAAGGAGATGGAGCAAGGCATGGAGCGTCTTTCAAAGGCTCAGGCATCAGTGAGGGCAGCCGCCCAGCAGCGTCAGAGTATACAGAAGGTGCGGTTCCAGGGCACATCCGACAGTTTGCCTGACCTCGGGACCGGATCATCCTCAATGCAACCATTAGAGGGCCAAACTGTATCATTACCTTCAACAACAGCGGCAGCATCAGCATTGGCACCATCATCAGGATCATCGTGGCCAACCCCTGAAGCCCCGAGGCCGCCAGGGTCCTACGAGTCCAGTTCTACGAGACCCAAACGCGACTGATGTAATTTTAGAGAATAAAACGATCGACCACCTCCCCTTAACATAAACACTGTGACTGTTGAATGGTACCTTCATTTTTTTTTTTTTTTTTTTTTTTGTGTGGGAAGGAACTGACTGACCGCAGTCGAACAGTGAATGAGCCAACGGACAATTGGAAAACGACATTCAGGACCAGCCTCTGCATTCACATCACACTCTTGTCCCTCCCCTCCTTCCTCCTACACTCCCCACCCACTTCACCCCCCCCTTCCCCCCTCCCCTTTCTTTTACTTCACACATACATATACTTTAACAATGAGCTCCATTGTCGCCCAGCCTTCGACCCAGGGCACCTTCCTCTCCACCCCCGACGCCCCCCGCTCCTCATTATTCACCTGTCTCGCCTGCCATGTTGCCTTCAAGACCGCCGATATCCAGCGTGAGCACTACCGCTCCGACTGGCACAGATACAACTTGAAGCGCAAGATGGTCGAGCTGCCTCCCGTCACTGCCGATATGTTTTCCCAGAAAGTCACTGGCAAGTTTATCCAACTCTTTACGTTTTCAGCTCTTTCATACTCTCAATCTCGACATCACCTTAGTACGGCATCAATAACACCCTCTCATATTTTTTTTTTGCTCATAACTGTATATAATAGCCCAGAAGCAGAAGGATGCTGATGACCAAGCCGCGGCAGAGGACACCTCCAGCTCCGAGTGCAAAGCTTGCCGCAAGTCCTATTCCTCCAAGAACGCCTACGAGAACCATCTGGTCTCCAAGAAGCACAAGGAGACCGAGGCTAAGCTCAAGGCCAACCCCCCCGTTGCCAAGGTCGAGAAGCCAGTCAAGTCTGATGTCGAGTCGATTACTTCCAAGATGACGGTTGATCTCTCGGTGACGGACGAGACGACTCAGGAGGAGTTGGAGGAGATTATGGATAAGAAGATTGAGACTGCGGTCCGTTTGGAGCTCCTGGATTGTTTGTTCTGTACCGAGAAAGCCGAGACCTTTGAGAGGTATGCTTCTTCGTCTTTTTTGTTCGAGGCAATGAGCAGGGTTACTGAGGAACTGGATGTTTTAGGAACGATAACACATTTGTCAACGATATGATTCCCAGAAGAGCAGTCAATGGCTGCTCCAAGTGGCTAAAGCTTTAGCTTCGACAACCTTACTGACCTGCGTTCCTATTATGTTCTTCATTGCTATAGCAACATTGAGCATATGACCAAGTATCACGGATTCTTCATTCCCGATCTCGAGTACATTGTGGATCTGGAGGGCTTGATCAGGTATTTGGGCGAGAAGGTATCCGTCGGAAACATCTGTTTGCACTGTAACGGCAAGGGCCGTCAGATCAAGTCGCTGGAGGCTGTTCGCAAGCACATGGTCGACAAGGGCCATTGCAAGATCCCCTATGATACCGAGTCGGAGATGATGGAGATTGTTGACTTTTACGATTTCAGGTCGTCCTACCCCGAGGAGGAGCAGCGCAAGTTGCTCGAGGCTGCCGAGCGTGGTGAGGAAGTGGAGGAGGACGACGAGGAGGAGCTGGATACTGGTGTCAGATTGGGTGAGGATGACATGGAGCTCATCTTGCCCTCCGGCGCTCGGTTGGGACACAGGTCTTTGAACAAGTACTACAGACAGAACGTCAAGCCAGAGGAGGTAAGAACAGCTCTTGTCGTTTGGACATTTTTAGCATATAGGCATGGACAAATAAGCATGCTAACGTATATAAATCATTTCCCTTCCTTCTATCTAGACACGCGACTCTGTGTTGATCAACAAGTTGTTGACCCACTACACTGACCATATGGGCTATGACTTGGCCTTGTCTAAGACCAAGGAGAGAAAGGAACGCGGACAGGCTTTGGTGGCTCGCAACGACGGAGAGTCAAGATGGGCCCAGAAGCAGACATCGACCTTCAAGGATTTCCGCAGGATCGAAGAGCACAAGGCTCGTGTTGGACAGAAGCAGAACAAGTTGCAGAAGCATTACCGTGTCCAGATCTTGGTCTAAGTTACACGGCGGTTTCACGGACTTTTTTTTTTTTTGTCTTCATCCCCCCCGACTACCCCTACTGCAACAAGCATTACTTGCATTCCTCTACACTTTGCATATCACTTCTTCCATTACTATTCAGCGCATTTTTCCCTTCTCTTTTTTCCATTTTTCTCCCAACCCTTTTGTAACTTTATTATCACAAAGAATAAAACAAACAAAAACATATATCGTTGAGATGGTCAAGTCTGTTAGGTTGGTGGTAAAACGGATCATTATTTTTCCACCAAAAAGAGACCGAGAGCTGCGTCAGGATGACGTGCCTTGTTTGATGGCTCTGAGAGGCTGTGCTATGGGGATAGAGTTCGATATATCTGGAATGGCACGGGAGGAATGGGCAGGTGATCAAAAGAACACACAGAATAAGAATGTTCTTTCCTTACGAAAAACATACCTAATTCTTCAATGCCGTTTTTTTAAACACTTTACAACTGCCTCGGTAATAAGATGACGAGTATCATTAGGCCTGGTACCAGCCGTGGTTGTGGCGGCGACGGCGGTGGAGGACACAACGATGGAAAAAATGAATAGTGAAATGATCCAAGGATGAACAAAACCGATCATGACGTTTGAAGTTGAGAGACCAGGTCAAAGGAAAACATGAAAAATGCCATAGCCAACAGGACAAAAAAAAAAAAAAAGTGAGAGGATGAAGGGATTGTTCAGTGTCCAGAAAATAAGAACAACTCACGAGTTATTTTTCAGGATCCATGAGATGATCTGCATTATTGTTGAGCTATGTTGACTATCGTCCGAGACGTCAGCAGGGGGCGCGCCGTCAGACTATTCCCCTTCTTTTCTTGTCCTTCGCGCGCCGCTCGTACTGCAAGTGTGACCCCCTTTTTGTAGAGTCATCAAGAGCACAACGAACGGCGGTGAAAGAATGGGTTGTCCAAAAATACGCGAGATAGCTCTTTTCGTGAAGGGAGTTAGCCCATTTATGTCGCTACCATGATCTATGAATAAAAACGAATACCTATCTTTTTTATTTCCTTTCTTCTTTTATCCCGTTCTGGCCGCTATACAAAATTCTCCATTTCATCAAAACCTTTTGCACATAAAACAGACCCAACACCGTCAACTTCTCCTTTCTTCACCATGTATTCTGCCATGATGTACTTGACGACCCTCGCACTGCTGGTCGCCATCCTATCTATTCAATTCCACGTTTACGTCCAAGCCCGTCCTATTCCCATCCCTGCCGCCGGTGGCCCAAAAGCCTGGCCAGTGGGCGCCATGCACCCAGTCAAGAGGAGCACCCTTCAACACGCCGAAGATGCGACCGCCAAGTATATCGCCAAGCGCACCACCGCCACTGGCGATGGTGACTTCAGCACGCATATTGACGATGCCGCCATTAGGTCCGCCTCTGTCGCCGACAGCGACAACAACGGCGAAAATGCCACCGCCGAGAGTCATGAAGCCGGTGTCGGTATCCTGCCCATCCCTCGTACCCCTCCTCCAACCAAGTCCCGATGCTCCGACATCTGTCCTGCAATTTGGCAACCCTTGTGTGCGCACAATAAGATGGGTGACAAGAAGACGTTTGGCAATACCTGTCAGTTGAATGTTTGGAACTGTAGACATCATTTTAATGCCTTTGTGGAGGATTATAAAGGCGAATGCGAGAATAAGTGAGTGGTGAGGAAAATGGAGGTTGGCCTACTTCCGCTTTTTTTTTTGCGCGTTCCAGTCAGTTGAGTTCCTGAAGCCTGCCTTTTAGTTTGAATTACATGAACAGCATGAAAATAAACAGAAGAGAAGACAATTTAAACGTTTGTTCGTGGCGCATTAAAGACAGAAGCTTATTTCTTTTCAGGCAAGCTCTTGGGATCTTTGTGTGCTTGCGAGGATGCCACATTAAACCTCAACTTTTTAGTCTTTCATGCCCTTGCCTCTAATCCTCCCTTCGTTCTTCTCCTCGGTAACTTTTCACTCTCTCACGTTGACATCGTATCTCCTTACTTTTCTGTTCGCTCGCTTTTTTGTTCATCCCCTTTGGATTTTAGAAGTGAGAGCGGTAAATCGTCAAGTAGAGAGGGGACGCTATGGATGGGCCGCTGTCCAAAGAAAATGGCAGCTCGTTCTTTCTTTCAATGGAAGGCAACAAAAAAAAAGACCCATGAATAAATAACACAACGCATTGGCTATTTTGTTCTCGTTTTTTATATTTTTTCTTCCATAACTTACTAAGTACTGTCTCGGTTCCCTGGTCCCTTTTCATATCTTTCTTCCTTCACAAATAATTCGACTTGTCATCCCTATTAGCCATATATCTCTCAACAATGTATCTGATGTCGCTTGCCCTGCTGGTCGTCATTCCCAAGGTCCGAGCCCAGATCCAGTTCAGTCATATCTAATTCCAGGCTGTTGCGCAAGAACGCTGCGCTGACAAGGATGTTGATCCTCAGGCCAAGCCCGACGCAACCATTGAGGCCATGGAACCTATTAAGAAGGATGCAACCACCATGTTCTTGCCTAAGCGGGCTACCGAAGCGGAGATCACCGCCATAGTCACCACTGACACGCGGGGATTGGAAGGAGACGTCACAGCCGGAACACCTCCCGAGCCTTGCCCAAGGAGTACCTAGGTGTTGTTCAGCCTGTGTGCGCCAAAAACAGGTAGTCTGTATACGACCCTCTATAATATATGCCGATTGGTCCAATGAACAGCGGCAACCTCAACGACAGATACGAGTTTGTGAAGGAAGGCGAATGCATAGAGGATTGAACGATGGATTTTTGCAGCAGCGACGAGGAGGAGGGGGGATAAGAGGTAATGGAGGACTGGAGGAGGAGTGAGAGGATATTTCGAACCTCTCATGCGCATGTCAGCAGAGGAGATGGAAATAATAATGATACGAGTAACAAACCACCAACAAACGAGAGCGAGTTACTATCGTAGTCAGTGAATGAGCGTGAGCTGAGAATAGAAGCAGACAAAAGAATACATGTGCCTTACCTTCATGAACCACAGTTTGCAAACCTTTTGGTCAAAGCCATTATGCCGCATTGGCACCCAGCACCCCCAGAAATAGAATTGTGTTGCTACCTTATAGTCCATAGCATCCAAGTACGCGTTGAGGGGTACATGGTCCGGTGCATGCCTCACCATCAGTCTGGTTCAGTGGTGAGGTATGTCTTTCTTCCTTTCCGCGATCAATGCTCTCACAGTGATAGAGTCGGGTTCCCTTCTATGCCTGGGAAAAAGAGCGGTAGAAACCTTAGCGGACCGACCATCCCCCCGCAAAACTGCACTCGCTCTGCATTGTTGTCTTTCCTTCGGGAGTATTAGCGAACCCCGATCACGTATTCCCGCTTACGCCCGTTGGAAGGGACATGCCTCTTCTCCGTCTGTCTGAGGGTTGTTGCCTCTTGGATGAGCAAAGAAGATACATTTCCTCCAATTCCCAGTAGTACAGCATGTACTGGTTCACGTATTTTTGAACAGTGTACACGTCCAAGGGTACATTTTTTCTTTCCTTCTTTTCATGCCTTCTATTTTCTCTATTCCCTTCCCTTCCGTGTACAATTTTTTTCCCACCATGCCTTACCAGCTCGTCTTCTAATTGGTTCCCCGCTCGATGCTCTCTTTTTTTCTTCTGTTGATTTCTTTTTTTGGTTGCCGGTTTGCCTGGGTTGGCCCATGCACCCACCATACACAGACTAACAAAAAACGTTCTCAAGAAGAAACTCAGATCGAAAAAATAATAACGAAAGTGGCCAAATGGTAAGCCACTCTCTTTCTCACTTTTGGTTGCATTACGCTTCTTTCATGGTTTTCTGAATGGGCAAAATGGCCGAACTCCGATTTGTTTTTTTGACTGGCCTCATTGTAATGATGTTGAAAGGAGTTTTTTTTTTTTTTTTTTTTTTTTTTTTTTGGTAGGCTAGGACTGTTGGGAAAGTGCCTGAACCAATAATAGTTGCCCAATGCTCATTATCCCATCCCCTTTCACTCTCACTCTCGCTCCTTTTGATTTACCTATTTTTTTTCCCTTGAAGAGAAAACCACATCAAAAAAGTATTAACGCGTGTTACCGTATTGAACTATCTTTTGCTCTTTGAATTTTCTTCCATAGAAATCTTGATTGTCGGAGTCGGTGAAAGAAAAAAAAAAAGAAAGGAGAGCGGCATGAAAATTGAACAAAGAGAACAGAGCGGCCGGTCAATGCGATGCATGAGAAACCGAGGGGAAGGGTGGTGAGAGAGAGGGAGAGAGAGGGAATGCTTAGATGATGATGGAAGCAGGAAAGAGGTACATGTACTTGTTATGCCTAGAACGTTGGTCCTCTGGGTTACGATCTTGAAAAATGAAAGAAAAAGTCGTTGGAAAAGTAAAAGAATGAATGCACAAACTGCAGGCGCGCGTTGTCCTCGTACCCGTTTCCTCGTAGTTTCCCCTCTTTGCGAGTAGAGAAATTGAACGTTTTTTTTTAGTTCATAATGTATGGGTACTAGGCAAAGTACCCTGGTCAACATTGCGTCAAGGAAATACCGAGGAAGTAAATGGAAATAATGCAAAAACGAGTATAAATACAATGGCCTCTTCCCACATTTTTTGTTCCTCATCCCACATCCACTTCTTCACTCAAGCTTCAAAGCAAAAGCAACCCTCCCAACAACAGAACCTAGCCTACTCTACTACAAAAAATAATCAAAATGCAGTTCTCCACCATCGTCTCCTTGACCGTTGTCGCCTCGATGACCATCCTCTCTGCCATGGCCGCTCCCGCCGCCCCCGTCTGCAACAAGGCCTGCGCCAAGATCTACAAGCCCGTCTGTGCCAAGCTCCTCTCCGGTGAGAACAAGACCTTCCCCAACGCCTGCGAGATGAACGTATTCAACTGCGAGAACCCCGCCAACAAGCTCGCCCTTGTTGCCGAGACCGCCTGCGAGGATATTGCCCCAAAGTGCAACAAGGCCTGCACCAAGATCTATGCCCCAGTTTGCGCCAAGCTTCTCTCTGGCGAGTCCAAGACCTTTGGCAGCAAGTGCACTCTCGAAGTCTACAACTGCGAGAACCCCACTGCCAAGGCCGAGTCTGTTGTCAACGGCGAGTGCCCCACTACCCCTGCTCCCGTCTGCAACAAGGCCTGCCCTTACATCTACAAGCCCGTTTGTGCCAAGCTCCAGTCCGGCGAGTCCAAGACTTTCGGTAACTCTTGCGAGATGAGCGTCTTCAACTGCGAGAACTCCGCTTCTCTTGCCACCCTTGTCGCCGAGTCCGCCTGCGAGGATGTCAAGCCCGCCCCCGTCTGCGACAAGGGCTGCACCCGCGAATACAAACCCGTCTGCGCCAAGCTCCAGTCCGGTGAGTCCAAGACCTTCTCCAACGCCTGCACCTTGAGAGTCTTCAACTGCGAGAACCCCACTGCCTTTGCCGAGGTTGTTTCCAACGGCGAGTGCCCTGCCACCCCTGCTCCCACCTGCAAGAAGGCCTGCAACAAGATGTATGCCCCCGTCTGCGCCAAGCTCCAGTCTGGTGAAAACCAAACTTTTGCTAACAAGTGCATCTTGGAGGTCTTCAACTGCGAGAACCCCGCTGCCTTGGCCACAGTTGTTTCCGAGACTGCCTGCAAGAACTAAAGCGGATGAGAAGCACAATCTTCCCCCTTTTTTTTGTTTGATGTATTCCAACATCATCCTACACTCATTTTTCATTCTCTTCCATCACGCACACCCCTGCATTCGCATAAGCATTAAGATAGACACTCATACACCCATCAAAGCATTTTTTTAGAATAACAAAAAGCATTCCATTGAATAATAAAAAGCGATAGGCCATCGCATTAAAAATAATCTCATGTTTCCTTCCTCTTTGCTATTGTCTCCCGCCCTCTATTTCATTGAAGGTTAAGTTAGCAGCAAAAATGGAAAAGGAAAAAGATCTAGGGCAAAGTAGGTTTGATGATGATGATTGACGCCATCAAACACGACACGGACTTAATCGCAGTCAAGGTTTGATCAGGAACAAAAATGATTGCGCCGCTGAAACGTGTCGCTTCTTCAATTCAGAACTCAGGGCAGTTCAACTCAATCAGCTGGTAGTCAAACTCAGACTGAGGTCTTCTCGTGTCCACAGCTGACCAAGGTTCTTTGGTATAATATGTGGGAGAACTCTATGTCACTTCCATCAACGCACTTATAGGCAGGCGCAGGTTGTGTCTACGTCTTTGCGTGACCTTTTCTGTCTTGCTCTTTCTCGCCTCCTGTTTGAATTTGAACTCGATTCTTCGAACTGGAAGGAGAGAACGTGTTCACATCACGTTAGATAATGATGGGAGAGCATCAGTTATAGGTCCCACAATTGAATGATAGAAGTACGGCCTGAGGGGAGAACAGGTATAGCGAGATAGATATGTTATCACAACAAAGATAAAAGTACACAAATTATGTACAACCGACTCGGCCTTCAAACCAACCAACCAACAAACAAACTAACAGGAAAACAGGAAAACATTGGACTATGGTCGGGGCACGAACATTCCCAAGAGCTTATAAAAACAAGCAAAGGAGCACAAACAGGTAAACAAACACACATGAGGTACACAACAAGAAACCTTCATTACTATTTTTTCCTCACCGTGGAAAAAAAGAACCAATTTGGGCGGTGTTGAAAAAATGGTGGTTGTTATTGTTTTCTTTTTCTTTTTGGTTGGCCGTTGAACTTTAAAGTGCGCATACATATCTAAATCTGAGAACCTTTCAATTCAGTCATGGTCCCAGCTCGTCTCTCTCGTTGGTCTTGTTTGGGCATGGGCTGCAGCGGTTTTTTCCTTTCGATATATTACTTTTTGACGACCTCCGTGTTGGACAGCAGAAATGCCAAGAGCGCCATCTCCTCTATGTCATTCCTTGACCATATCAAAACACCCCTCTTAGGGCTGCAGCCTTCTTCTTCCAGGGCCTTAGGCCTACTTTGTACAATTAATTGATAGGACACCTCCACGCTTTTAACTCAGATCAAGCCTCCCTCTTTCATTCCTCGGTATGACCTTCTCTCGGTGCCTGAATTTTTCGCCTCTCCCTCCCGTATTTTTTCTCATCCTGGACCACGTTTGAATCTGTGTTTCAATTTACATACGCTAGAAAATAAAAAAAAAGTGAGAGTAGAATAGAATGAAGAAAAAGAGAGAATGCATCCTTAGTCAACGATATGCCGAGGTGCGTAGTTCTTGTTTTCAACAAATGGGGATGATGTGTAGTGTCAGCGAAATGCAAGTGGGTTGTATGGAGTGGACGCACCGCCTGTGTGTCATTATTCCTTCCCCATTATTATTTTCCTTGCCCCTTTCCTTTGCTCCTTTTCTTCCTCGGCAGAATCGGACTAGAACCCCCAAGGAAGAACCCGTGGGAATTATTAGCATCGGTCCCAAGAGTTAGGCAGCAAAAGGTGATTGAACCCGCTTCTCCAAACTGCCCACGCATTTCCAATGTCGTCGTATGTTTCTCAAGGTATGACAGAAATTCTCCGTACGTATTCTCAGGCAGAAAGATGAAGGGTTCTGCAGTACTGATGGATTGAAGAGGGAAAGTATGAGGACATGACATGGTATGTCAATCCCTAGCGTCTGTGCCTACTTGCCCACCACGAACGAGTCCCGCTAGCTGGACGATGAATATGAGTACCTTGAAGGGTCAAACTCTGGAGTGCTTATTGCATCGACAGTTGCGTTCCCTTCACAAGTTGACACAGGGTGTAATATGTTTTTGGTCTTTTTTTTAGTTGAGCCGAACCTGTCGTATATTTTTGTCTCCTCTTATGTTGGTAGCATCCTTTCCTGTGCGTTCACAAGAAGGGAAGAAGGGACTATAGACTGAGCTATATCTTGCTGACACTCAACAATCTAGTCAAGCCCAATGATCGTTTCCTTTTTTGCTCTATGACAAGTTGGCCATCTCCTTCCTTCCGTCCTTGTGCCTTTTCATCTATCGGTAGCCATTTTCATTTCTGACCGAAAGTCAACAAAGTTCAAGATTGGGAGTACAAATAAACCGCTCCCCATACGTCTTATTTCCCATTCATCATCCTGTTTGTTGTATTTTTCTCTTTCTTTTCGCCTTGTAAACGAGAGCCTATTCTAGATCTAGGGCGTGGAAAAAAATGGGGGAATGCAATCAATTCTTCTATTCTCAGGTCCGTCTGCTTCCTCCACATACCGTAGTAAAAGTACAAACAAACGCACAAAGAATATAAAAAGATCAAACAAACAAAGACAACCATTAAACAAACAAACGGAGCAACGAGAACAGCAAACAAACAGAGCAAACAAACTAATAAAATAGAGTGAACAAAGAGAAAGAGCAAACATACGGACCCGACTCTTGGCCACAAAGGCTGAAGTAGAATTTTATTTGCGGACCATGTACCAAAGCCGTTGGAATCCATTGGGTTGTCGACAGTGCTCAAACAAACAAACAAACAAGGAAGCAAACACACAAACAAACAAAAGCAATTATTTTCCTCGTTCAGCATCGGGTTCTCATTCTTGGCCCATGCACTGTTTGCTCATTCCCCTATCTCACGTTTTCCAAACTCAGATCGGACGTTCTACGCATTGTACTTCGTTATGCAGCTAAATGCCTTGAAGGTGGTTCCGACGGGGTTGGATAATGCACGGCAAGAAAAAACAAAAAATCTGTCTCCAAAGTCCGCCATTCTTTCCCATCGGTTCCATTGGTTCCCTCGTCCATTCATTTCTTTCGCGTACAATGTGGTCCATGTACGCGCCTCAGCATCATTCCCCTGTATCTTGCTGGTGTACGTGTAGCACCATTACTACAAATCTCCCCATGTAGTGACAGTCCATAATATGAGCGATTTAGGACCAATGACCTGAAATGGGCAGTAAGGAAAGAGCTTTGTTCTCTTGTTCTTTCCTAGACTCCGCTTGGGAAAGACGATGGGATATTTTCTTGCAGAATACAACGAGAGAAAGCCAAGAGCACAAGCGTCTTCCAAACAATACCTATGGTTATTCTCACTCCCTTCCATCCACTGAAGAGAAATACTTCGCGAGAGGTACTGAGGAGTCCGAGAAAAGATGACAAGATGTGGGGCGATGGTGATCATTTCTAGTACCTGATCAGGTATAAAAGCACTGACCATCCCCTTATTTTTTGTTCATCATCCAGCAACAACTACAACCTCCTCGCCTTCCAAACACCACCACCACCACCAACAAAAAGCCACTCCACATCTCCCACAATGCAGTTCTCCACCCTGATCGCCTTGACCGTTGCCACCTCGATGGCCGTCCTCTTTGCCACGGCCGCTCCCACCGGTCCCAAGTGCGGTACTGGCTGCCCTACTGTTTACCAGCCCATCTGCGCCAAGGCCGTTGATGGCTTGAACAAGGTCTTTGTCAACGCCTGCGAGCTCAAGAACTTCAACTGCAAGCACCCCAAGGCCAACTTTGCTGTCGTCGCCGAATCTGACTGCAAGGACTTTGTTGCCATCGACAAGCGTGCCGCTGCCTCTGCCTCCCCCAAGTGCGACACGATCTGTCCCACCGTCTACCAACCTGTCTGCGCCAGGGCCATCGATGGATTGAACAAGGCTTTCGGCAACGCCTGTGAGTTGAAGAACTACAACTGCAAGCACCCCAATGCCAACTTTGTCACTATCGCCGACTCTGAGTGCAAGGACATCCCCACCCCTACTCCCGTCTGCAACAAGGTCTGCCCTCTCAACTACGAGCCTGTCTGTGCCAAGATCCAATCCGGTGAGAGCAAGACGTTTGGCAACGCCTGCGAGTTGAACGTGTACAAGTGTGAGAACCCCACCGACAAGATCGAGTTGCTTGCCTCTGCCGAGTGCGCAGCCGCTTCCCCCGCCTGTGCCATTGCCTGTCCCGCTATCTACAAGCCCGTCTGTGCCAAGCACTCCAACGGTGATCTCCAAACCTTTGGCAACAAGTGCGAGTTGAGTGTCTTCAACTGCAAGAACCCCGCCATTGCCTTCTCCCTTGTCACCGAGGGTGACTGCGATGCCAACTAAGAGGTCTACTTTCTTCTACTCTTTTTTTTTATACCTAACCATTCATCACATAAGCATATACCATGATTCTAGACTTTCGTAGATAGCACCTCTCACACCCTTCCTTACCCCCATTAGAAAAAAGCGAAACTTGTTTGACAAGCGTGCACCGATACAATATATGATCAATATCTACTTTTTTACCCTCTTGTTCGTTTATCTCCTCGTCTTTGAATCAATGTAATTCTGGTGGCAAAGCCGTGACATGTATTTAGTCAGGAGTGATTGACGCGATTTAACCTTCTCAGAGATTCTCGTGGTTATTTTTTTATCTTTACGATATAAACTTCAACACCCTACTTTGCTACCCCTATTTTCCCATCAGTATTCTGCTAAGGGTGAGGTGGAGGCGACATCGCAGGTATATGAAAAGAGGAAGGGGGAGAGAGGGACGGAAAAAGGGCAGAAAAGTTAGTGCGCGGTGAGCGAGGGGTTGTAAAAAAAGCCCTCCCTACCATCCTCATTTTCACCCTCTTTCAACAGAACGTCAAAAAAACAAGATCTGCCTTTTCAACTTGATGGCCCTGCTCGCCATCACCTCCGTTGGCATTCTCTCCTCCTCTTCTGCTGTTCCTCTCGGCGCCGAGGCCAACGCCGCCGCGGATCAAGAAGCGCGATCTATGTATCAGCAAATGTGTTACACTCGCAGTCATCCCAAGGTACATCTGCGCAAGGAGCAACAACAATGGAACTATTATGGCCTTATTGTGTTTATACCCTTTACAACTGCGATCACCCCGAAGTTCACCACACTCCACTCTTCCTTGGAAATCCAAGGAATCTCTGTCCCATTTGTCGATACATGCGACCTTCTTGTCTTTTTTCCTTGAAGCCATCAAAACAACTAACAAAAATACTCCTTTGGGAGGTAGGGGGGGGGGGGGGGGGGGGGCATACAACTGACGCCTGCGTCTGCTCTGTTCATGGTTTATGGATGGATACACACTCCTGCTAAGAGTTGAGAAAAAAAAGAAATTCCCATCGCAGATCCAATACCTAAATACCAAATGTGACTGCGATCTATCAATTGTAAACACTTCGGGGGGAGACTGGACACCCAGCAAAGGCCAGGCATCTCGCACTTGTCGTCTCTCCCTCCTTTCGACACACATACGCTTCCCCCTCACTTCTCAACACACAACATCATGTTTGGAGCATTCAGAGCATCAACCGTCAGCCAAGGAGGTCTTCTCTGGTACATACATACCTCCCTCACCCCGCCACCACTCACCCAATCACTACCGCCACCAGCTTTGCTGCCACTCAAAAGGATGCTCGACGACTGATCACCCCTTTCATCTTTCCATGGTTATTTAGGAAGGCTCGCATGAAGATGGATTTGAGCCCTACACAAAAGGCAAACATCCGCAAGCGCCTGAAGGCCGCCGACGACGTCGTTATGAAGATTCAGCAGTCTGGCATTGAGTGCAATGCCTTGGTAAGAAAGCCGCCAAGAGGTCGATCCTTGTACCCCTCAGAAAGGGGTATTTTTCAGTAACAGGCCCGGGGGAACAGGAACAGGAGCGGGGTGGAGAGGAGCAACTCGGGTGTCGATTCGGTTTATCAGGAGAGAAAGAGAAAAGCATGAGAAAGAGGAAAGGGGACATTGAAAAGAGCGAGATAGCAGGAGAACGAGAATGAGCTAGAAAGCTTTGTTTGATACGCGGGAAGGCCGGAATACATGTACCCGTATGGATGAAGAGCCGGCAGAGATGAATCAAGGCACAGCGATAAGGAACGCCATTGGGCTGTCGTCTCTACCATCTACCACCGCTGGCCGTCTATCACCACGCCCAACACGGTCGCGTCAACAACCCATACAAAATGGAGATTGAACAAACACCTAACGAACTGGACAACATTTTGTTCCTGATATAATTATAGACAAAGTTGAAGGCCGAGCCTACAGAGGCCCAGATGCCCGCCAAGGACAAGTACACCGTCTTCAGCAGGACCTTCAAGGGATACCGCAAGTCTGTCCACAAGGTCCCTCACTTCACCAAGGTCGCCATCCCCCGTACCGCCCCCGCTGGATTCTAAAGCAGGATTAGATAATCATATCAGGAAGCAGGAGTACAAGGAACGACGAATAGACATGGAACAGCATATGTATAATACAAAATATCATTCACCAAATCGTGCGCAAGGAGTAGTCATGGATCTCTTTTATATTGCGTGTACATATTTGTGAGAGACTGAATAAGCCAGGAAAGATTTATGGCTTGATGCCCTTGGCAAGGTTAAAGCCAACTTCACCAGCTCGACCAAGCTTAGCCTGCTCAGCAGCATACGCATAAGATTTCCACCAGAACGCAATCTCCTCTGCTGAAAGCCGCTCCACCGCACCCCTTGTTACTTTTAAATCGTCCCCAAACACAATCGCCTCTTTCTCTGCCACCACCGCCTCCTCTCCCGCGCCCACACCCTCACCCGAAGAAGTAGTAGGATGAAGACTACCGAGAACCTTGGGGAGTGTAGAAGCCATGGGCGAAGCGGCCGTCACAAACTCGATCCAAACCGCCTGGACCTTCTTCACAAACCCCTTCTCTTCCTTATTCAACAAGCCCCTCGCCGTCGCGTTTCCGAAAACGAAAAACAAATCAACTCCATGATGAGCTCCCATCCCGGGCATCATTCCCTCAAGCTTCTCGGTATGACGATCGAAATGGTATCGGGTCAATTGGGCAGTGGGGTGAGCCTTGATGGCTTCGCTGATTTGGAGAGTTGGGAAGCGATACCCGCCGTCGCCGGTGAGGCGCATGGAGAGGTGTTGGACTTCTGTGTCGGTTGAGGGGGTCCCGAAGATGGTGGTGAATTGGGGACGGGAGGAAAGTGGGCAGAGGCGGGAAATGAGGGGATCCTGTTCTTCGAGTGTGGACGCTCCTAGTTGTACTACAAACATCGTTCCTATTCCGATTGTTTTTTTTTGTTCCCATGCAAAGACAAGGAAGGTTATATATCAATCTGGTAAATAACTTCCTCACAAAAACGATAAACAGCAAGAAAACATAGCATTGGGTCTACCTTCATCGCGGGTGTTACCAGTCATGACCCACTCCAACTGCGGATCATAACTCTCAGCATCCCCCACCGTCATCCTACAATCCTTCCTAAACACAACCCCATCCAAACTGGGCCTAAAAAGAATAAACGGCGTCGCATTCATATCCTCCACAAACTTCTCCCCCCGCACCCGCCTCAGTCTTGCAACCTTCTCCAAGGGTTCCAAATCTTCTGGGATCTCACACAACTTACATAGACGATCAAACATGACCTGTCCCTCTTGCTCCGGGTACATCTCTGGCATCGTCGATGCCGCACCAGATTGGAGGATCGAGCGGCGGAAGAGCCCTCGCGCCTGGGGGATCAGGTGGAGGTACGAAACTGCAATAGACCCGCCAGATTCGCCCATAATTGTGACGCGGGAGGGGTTGCCCGAGAAAGCGCCAATATGATCCCTGATCCATTCCAGCCCTAGGATTTGGTCCAAGATTCCCCAGTTCCCGACCGAGCCATCGTACCATTGATTGTCAGGAATGGTCTTGGCGTGTTGTTGGGCGTCGAGGAGGAGTTCTTTGGAGGAGAGAAAGCCAAAGTAGTTGAGGCGGTAGTTGAGCGTGACGACGATCATGGGCTTGTCCTGGTTGATCGACTCCAACACCAAGTCCGAGCACTCTGCGCACATACACACAGAAATAGGGTAAAAATTGCCTTAGCGTCCATTTATTCTTTCACATCCCATGCATTTGTATGTTGAGAGCAGACCATGATAGCAAATCGAACGAGGAAGACAAAATACAAGGAACATACCATACAAAGGAACAGAATTAGCCCCATTACGCATCCCACCACCATGGATCCACACCAGAACCGGCAACTCTTCAGAAGAACCAACAGCCGACGCAGGCATAAAGATATTGCAGTTCAGACAATCGCGTTCGCTCATATCCTCGTCATAGACAAACTTCTCGGGAACACCCAGGAACATCGACAAAAACGCATTGTTCTCTGTCTGCTGTGGTGGCATTGGCCTACCATTCCCACCCCACAAAAAGAAAGAAAAGTGTTATTAGTGGCTTCAGGATAACGAAGAAACCTCGAGCGTTCCCCCCAAAATCAGGTTCAGAGCGAGGGGTCGAAGAGGAAGCACTGAACGTACCCAAGCTTGGTGGCATCACGTACACCATCCCAAGCTTGGACCTTCGTCGCCGGACGCCACCGTTCCTCGACAACAGCAAAGGGGACGTTCAAGAACTTGGCGACCTTGTTGCCCATGTCCTTGTTAAACACACCCCTGACAGAGCCTAGGTTAGGGATTAAGACCACAGGGCCTGCGTCTTGGTTATGCGCCATCGTCATTGCTCCTGAATATTTGTTTTGAATGTGTGTGCGTGAAGAGAGGAGAGTGAGTAAGTGTGTATGGAGCGAGAGCGTGGATGAACCAACAAGAAAAGAAAGAAAAGGGGACGAGCCAATTCATCCTGCTTTTTAAAAGAAAAATGACGTCAAATAACGTACACTCAAACCATTGCCAGAAAATAATACGTTTTCTAACAAAGTCGATACCGGAAATGGATGGCCAGCCTTTTTTTTTTTTTACTTTCTTTTTTGTCACCGGTGCCCACTTGTCATAGACCCTTTCTATCACTTCCTCCGCCTTTTGCAGTCCAAAACCCCCTTCAACTTTCTACGGCTCTCAAAATAAGACAACGAACGACGTCAAAGCAGTTTAACTCTAGGCTCAATCAACTTCACGTTCGAAATTATGTCTTCCCGGATTAGGTAGCACCCGGATTTGAACAAGTGCATGCTGATCGTGCGCAGTTCGCAACCCATTTGCAACACTCCTTCCAACCCTCTCGCCTATCAATTGACCTACTCTGCTCATTCTTCTTAACCTTCTTCACCCATGAAAAAAGGACATTGCCACAGTCATTGCGCGTCGCATATCAAGTTAGTATCGTTCACTAAAAAGTGCAGAATGCTCTATTGAATGTTGTGTGTCCATTACGTCTGTCTGTCTTTCTGTGCGTTCATCATCGTTGTCTATGTTACATTTTATGCGGCAGAATAAAAAAAAATACGAAATGAAAAGAGAAAATGGCCTAAAAGAGAAACTAACCAAGAGAGAGAATTAAGACTGGGCGCACTGCACGCCAGGTCCGTGTCCGGCCGCACCATCATCCTCGTCAGAGTCGTACGCGTTTCCGGTGTGAGTGTTTGCGCCATAGTCCTCCATATCGCCCACCTCCAGAGTGCAGTGGTCCACAAGCTCGGGTTCCATTGGCACGGGTTCACGCTTAGGAAGCAATGTCTCAAGCGACTATCATAAAAAGGAGAAGGTGGACAGTTGGTTAGTATCAGTTGAAAGGCAATCATGTTCAACAAGTCCGAGAAGCAGAGAAAATCCAAGTTACCTTGAAGCTGCCGGTGGTGGCCCAGTTGTCCTTGGGGAACTCGACTTCAAAGGTGATGTAGAGGTCGCCTTTATCGATGGGTCTCTTGTAGTGGGGCATACCCTCGCCAGTGATCTTCATGACTTGACCAGGCTTGATGACCTTTCCTGCAGGCTGCTCAACATGGATACCGCGTCCGTCCAAGTGCGTGATCAAGATCTTGGAGAAACCGCAGAGTGCCTCCACAAGTGTGATCGTAATCTTGCAGGCAAGATCGGCTCCGCTACGCTCAAAGAGCGCATGAGGCTTCTGCTGCAACACCAACACCACATCGCCCGCCTCAACTCCAGGTTGCTGGTCTCCCTCGCCCTTCATGGGGATCTTCTCGCCGTTGCGCATACCCTTCTCGATAAAGATTTCCATCATCTTCTTCTCGTTGACAACCTTGACGCCCTTGCACTTTTTGCACTTGTCCTTCTCACGCATAGTTGAACCCTCGCCATCGCCTATAGTATCAATGGTACAAAAGAACATATATGATTAGCGTTTCTGATTATCATTGATTTCGAAGGGATCGAAAAAAAATAATCGGAGTCTCGTCACTGTGTCATCGTAAGTCCTCCAGATCAAGGTCCCGAAGGAACAAGGTTTCCCGCTTATTTTTCGTCTCTTTATAACAAGGTAACTTACATCCAGGGCAAGTGACCTGCATCTGCTGCATCATTCCGGGGCCAATCTGACGAACAACCAACTTGACACCACGACCATCGCAAGTCGTGCACTTCTTGATGGCGTTTGCCTTGCCTCCCTTTCTATTGTGTTACAAAGTCATCAAGAGGAGAGAACTGTTAGAGGGTTATCCGAGCAAGAAACAAAGATTTCCTAATGCATGTCATAACCCGAAACACAGACATGCATAACAATACGAGACAACACAAAGACAAAAGGGTCAAGTGAACCATTCGCCCCTTCCTCCCCCAGCCACCAAAAACCTCAACAACCACATCACTTCCTAGTTCTCCGAAATCCAAAAAAACGACTAAAAGCCAATAAAAAAAACAAAAAAAAAACATACCCATCGCAGAGCCCGCAGACGACATTCTTCTGCAGAGACATCCTGGTAGTCTTGCCGTTATAAAGGTCCTCAAGGGTGACATTGAGGTTGTGAGAGATATCCTCGCCCCGTCTCGTTCTTGAGCGTCCTCCTCCTCCGTGACCTTGGTGAGAATGGCCTTCATCTCCCATGCCTCCAAAGAAGCCGCCACCGCCGCCAAACATCTGTGCAAACATCTCTTCCTGAGACATGCCTCCAAAGCCGAATCCGCCGCCGCCGCCCGAGGGGCCATCCTCGCCGTAACGGTCGTACATCTCCCTGCTCTCGGGGTCGCTCAGAGTCTCATATGCATGACTAATGGTAATAATATGAACAGAAAGCGAGGAAAAATGAAATAAAGAGTTAGTTGAGTTGTTGGGGAATCAAGTGGTATATTACTTGTGGGGAAGGAGCCAATAATTTGTTCAGGCACAGTGCATCATAACAAGTGCCATTCATAACAACGAACCTGATCTCCTTGAACTGGTCTCCTGCATCAGGGTTCTTGTCAGGGTGGTACTGCATCGCCAACTTTCTGTAGGCCTAAAGAAAAAAAAAAAGTAGGAAGGTCATGGAAGACGTTAGAAAAGGCGGGCAAAACAAAAGTTAGGGGGGAAGCAGAAGTGCAGAAGTGTAGAAGAGTAGTAGTTGTGACCTGAGTCGTTCCATGAAGTGAAAAGTACCTTTTTGATTTCAGAGTCGGTTGCATCGGGGGAGACACCGAGGGTGTCGTAGTACTTTGTATCTCCTCGCATCATAGTTTTAGCTGTGTGTTTTGTAGTGTAGTTGGAAAAGGGGGAATGGAGGACAAAGGAAAAGAGGAACAAAGAACAACCCAGAAACTTAACAACCCTTGGACATTTTGTCTGGGGCCACTGAAGCAACAAGTAGAACAACATAAAGAAAGTCACATCTATTCATCACGTGTACACTACTCTTGTTTCTTGAAGCTGTTGGACGAGCGGAGCGGTGGAGAGAGGACAAATCCAAAGACCTCCGCTCGACCCTCCGCTGCCTGCTTGACTGCATATGCTGCCGATCGTCGCCAGAACCCAATCTCCTCCGACGTCATTCTCTCGACTGGTCCGCGTGTCACCCTTAGGTCTCGACTAAATACAACCGCCTCTTCCTCCTCTATCTCCGCTGCAACCACAACAATTCCATTGCCATCACCTTCGATCACTATTTCTACTTCCTTCTCCTTCTCCTTCTCCTTCTTGTGAGGGTTCACAGTCCGAGGAAGAACACAGTTGACCAGGGGCAACGACGAAGCCTCGGGCGAAGCAGCCGTCACTACCTCCACCCAAACAGCTTGTACCTTCCTCGACATCTCCCTCTCCTCGTCCGATAACAGCTTCACCGTCGACTCGCCTCCAAATGTAAACGGCAGATCAACACCGTGATGCGCTCCCCAGCCAGGGATCATGTTGTCGATCTTGTGGATAACAGTGTCCATATGGAAGCGGCTCAACTGACACGTCGGGTGAGCCAAGATCGCCTCGCTGACTTCAAATGTCGGAAACCGGAATACACCGCTGTTCAAGAGCCGGGACGATATCGAGTATGCCTCGGCGTCCGTGCTGGGAACTCCAAAGATCTGGTCAAAGAGGTCATGATCGGCTGGATCGCATACTCGTCGTTTGAAAGGCTCAAAGTCTGCCACCGTGGATGCGCCCAATTCTTCGACAATCATCGTGCCTGGTAGTAAAAAGGAGAAGGTTAGCACAGATTGCTTATACGCTTCGTTCTCAGTCTAAAAGAGTTTAGCAAGAATACAGCACAGTCACCTTCATCACCGCACGTTCCAGCAAAGACCCAGTTCAGATCAGGGTCATACAATGAGGTATCTCCAACAATCAAACGACAATCCTGCTTGAAAACCACGCCATCCACACATGGTCGGAACATAACATCGGTTGCCTTGTTGATGGCATCAGAGATCGCCTCCGCCGGGACCTCTCTCAGTCGGGCCACCTTCTCCAGCGGCGGCAGATCGGATGGCACATTAAAGTTGCTGCAGAGGCGATCAAAGATCCTCTGCCCTTCTTGCTCAGGGTATTGCGCCACCAAGGTTGTCACTGTGCCAGAGACAAGGATGGATCGATGAAACAGCCCTCGACATTCTGGGATCAACTGTAGGTATGAGATCGAACTTGCTCCCGCTGATTGACCCATCACTGTCACTCGCTTGGGGTTTCCAGAAAACGCTTGAATGTGATCCTGGATCCATTCAAGGCCAAAGACTTGATCAAGCAGCCCCCAGTTTCCCACGGACAAATCGTACCATTTTTTTTGGCATTCTGGGACCGTTTTGGCGTGTTCTTGTGCATCCAGGATCAGCTCTTTGGAGGAGAGGAAACCCAGGCAGTGCAGTCGATAGTTAATGGCAACGACAATCATGGGTTTATCCAATTCGATTGAAGCAAGCACCAGTTCCGACCCGTCTACAAGTACATAGGCTGAGTTAATATACCATCGTTTTGGCAGACACACTCCCTCTTGTGTACCACAACAGTTAGAAAATGAGGGACTTAAGTTATATCATTACCATAGAGTGGAATGGCGTTACTTCCAGTTCGCATACCACCGCCAAAGAGCCAGACCAGAACAGGCAATCGCTTTTTCTCGTCCAAACACCCCACAGCTGATGCTGGCATGAAGATATTGCAGTTCAGACAGTCGCGCTCATTCATATCTTTGTCAAAAACGTACTTGTCCGGCACACCCAAGAGCGTTGACATGAACGGGTTATTGGTAGTCCTCTGGGGTGGCATTGGCCTACATCAGTAGTGAGAAGACAGTGTGCGAGGTGTCAGTTATCAGTGGAGAGTGGAGTGAGACCAGCAAAGTTCATGACGCAGGTTTATTGATCAGACTCATGGAGCGCAGACACATCAAGAGTTTATCACGTCTCTGTCCCCACTATTACCCAAGCTTAGTGGCATCACGGATACCATCCCATGACTTTGCCTTTGCGGCAGGACGCCATCGCTCCTCGATGAGCCCAAAGGGGACGTTCAGGAACTTTACGACCTTGTTGTTCTTGTCGAGAATGCCTTTGACGGTGCCAACGCCAACTATGGTGATATGCGGGCTGTCGTCATTGTCAGCGCCGCTGTCGTTGACTTTGTGGCTGTGGTTTGTTTCAGAGGGGAGAGTCATTCCGAGGGAATAAAAAAAAGTGGAAGAGAAGAAGAATCAGAAAAAAGTGATGGAGGATGGATGTTAAATGAGAAAAAATAAGGAGGGAAAGAAGAGGTGAATTGCAAAAGTAAGACAAAGAAGAACTAAAAAAGAAAGAGCACGAGGCTACGGACTGGGCTCATTGGCGGCATAGCTGGCTTATGCGCCACCAAAGGAATGAATATGAGAGAGACGAAAAGACGGCGCCTTGTTTTTTTATTTATATTTCACATATATGAAGAGGGCAGCCTAGTAGTGTGGGGCCTGGTAACTTGGTGGCGGAGGGAGAGGGGCTCCTGTTGCAGATTCTGTTCCTGGCGTACCTGGAGCCAATTGAGCTCCCGTGGCTGTTGCTGTTGTTGCTGGTGGTCCTCTTGCTACACGGGTCAAGTCGATGATGTGTACCCTGGGTCCAGTCGACCGTGGTTCATATGCTGGCAATGTCTCGGACTCTACGGTTGTTGCTGTTCCTGTTGCAGTAGCTGGAAGTGCATTGTTCTCTCCAGCATTCAGGGACATGTCTGGTTGGTAGACATGGATGGTTTGGGGCATGACATCCAGCTCTGTAGGGCGGTCGAGTCCAAACTTGACCATATTCCGCTTGCGGTGAGTTCTAGTCATGAAGAGCTCGGCAATCAACAGGGCAGCCCAGATAACACTCAGACTCGAGATGACCACCTGGATCTGACACCTTGTCCTGGCAGCAAAAGAGGATGCTCCGTCCTCGACAGGGTTAAAGCGTTTTCCGTTGACACAACCGCCTTCATCCTGGATGTTTTTGAGGTCGGTGACGTTGAGGGTGAGACACCAGGCGGTAAGGACCAGACCCGTTGTGATACGAGTGACTCCGGACCATTCAGCTCGTCCGAGGAAGGAGTAGACGACGGCGAGGAAGAGGAAGGTATTGAGGGCGAGGTGGGAGGTCTCCTGGAAGTTGTATTGGTAAGCGTAGTCGTAAGGAGAGAGGATTTGGAGGCCGGCAAAGAGTGCGCAGAGGTTGGCGAAGGCGAGGAGGAGGAGGAGGGCGCGGATGATCCTGAGAAAGAGGGCGAGGAGGGTTTGATGTTGGGTTGTGAATGAGGTGATGAAGGATCTGGACCTTGACTGGGGAGTTGTGTTAGGAAGAGGAAGAGGACGAGGAGGAGAATTGGCTTCCATAGCTAGTGTGTGTGGCGAGTTTGAGTAAGTTTGAGTAAGTGAATGGGTATGTTGGTGGGTGGAGAGTGAATGTGTACGAGAGAGAGAGAGAGTGAATGGAGAGAGAGGGAGTGAATGGAGAGAGTGAGGAAGAGAGGAAAGGATAAACTTGGCAGATAAAGAGGAAAAAAAAAAAGAAAGCAAGGAAGGTGGGTGGGGGGTGTGGTTCACTCTAGAGGGAAGGACGGAAATAAATAAGAATGACGAAGGGGCGTAAAAGATAGAATGAACAAACGACGTGTGCGGGAAGAGGGGAAGAGGGAGAGAAGAAGGGGAAGTCAATGCAAGGCAGGCAGGGTAAGGGTCTAGGTCAGTTGTCTGGAGTGGAGAGGACAATGGAGTGAGGTGGACAGGTTCTTCCTCCCACCCTTTCCTTTGTCCTTTTTCCTTTTTTTTTGTTCCTGAAACGTCTCTTTTTCTTTTTTCTTGCCCCTGTCCCAAACGGAAAAAGGGGGAGGAGGGAAATAAATATTGATTAGATGGGTGAGACACCCACAAACAAGCTAGAAAGCAAGACTCATATAGGTGTTGGAAAGGTTCGTGCTAATCGCTGACGACAAAAACAACGACGAATATGAACGAGACGTCTGAATTAGCCACCACAGCTGTTCTCTCTCCTTCATTCATTCAAGAAAAAGGATAGACTCAGACTCTTTCATCTCCGCCCAGCTTGGCACATGGATCAATTCACAAATAGATAGTCAGGACGCCGAAAAGGTGCATGAGAAATAGATGGTGCCCAGGCGTAGCGAAAAAAAAACAAATCCTGTTCCCGCGCTACAATCGACTTTGCGTCACCTTTTGGGCTCTATTGGATTATTTTTTTCTGTGATCCGTGAATGATCCATAGATCAAGGCGTGTAGCTTGGAGGCAAGCCCATCGGCACAACAACGACTGTACTCAATCTGGACCCTTCCTCTGCCTCAGCCTCAATCGCAACCTCTGATTCGCTATCGCCGTTTGTTCTCGACCCTCCTCCTCCTCCTTCACTTCCTTCCGTCAAAGGTGTTGGCTGTCCTGCCTGGGCCTCGATATCCTCCGCGGAAAACGGCGACGGGTCCAGGTATCCTGTATCCCGACCTTCTCCTTCTCCTTCTTCCTGCTCAATGTAAGGGTGTGGGCAAACCTCCTCAGCCTCTCCGTTGACAAAGTCACCCATATCGACTAATCGCCCCAACCCAACGGTCGTCTCCCTCTGCTGGTACTCTGGCAATTCATCTTCTCCCGTAGAATCGTTCGTGTCATCACCATGATCTTCCAGAGTCAAGTCGGGCTGATATTGATGCACCATCATGGCTCGCTCTCGCCTTTGCATCTCCCTCAACTCGATATCCTGTCTCTCCTTCGCGACCAGATCTAGGTACTCCCAATCCCGACTCATCCGCCATGACAGCCCAACCTCTGCCGCCAACAGGCACGCCATCAACATGTTCAGGGTCCCAATCAAGTACTGCATATAACACCGCGTCTTCATAACGGTGTGCTGCTCCTGACCATCCATATCTGCCTCAGATCCAGAGTCGTCGTACTCGTACTCGTATCCGTTACATCCTCCACCAAATCCAACATTATGTTGACTGATCTTGACAAAGATCCCGATCGGGTAGGCCAAGCTGGCGACGACAAGACAACATCCCGAGACAAGGCGGATTAGAGATGGGAACCGGTAACAGCAGGTGCATATGACGTGTATACAGGCGAGAAGGATGATGAAGTTGAGTACGAACTGATGGATGTCGAGAAATTCCTCGTAGTGGAAAGGTCCCTGGGTGAACATGGGCATGGAAAGGACGGCGAGGTTGGTGACGGACATTATTCCGAGGAGGATCCGGATCCAGAGGAGGTGTTTGTATGGGCGTTGTTTTGATGTCTGCATTGTGGGAAGTATTTGTTGTCTGTGATGTTTGTTTGTTTGGCTGTTTGCTGTGTTCTGTTCCTGTTTGTTGTGTTGTTCGTCAAATCGTGCAAGGATTGTGCGTTTGTTTGTTATGCGGGCTGAGGGAGGATGGAGTCGAGACTGACAGGGAACAGTGATTGCCGTAGAGTTGGAGGATGGCGGGTATATGAGTGGGGGTGAGAGAGAAGAAAGGAGGAAAGAGAAGGAAGGGTGGAAGAAGAGAAGTAAAAGGAAAGGAGGGAGCTTTGGAGAGATGAAAAGGTGAGAAAGGAAAGAAGAAAGAATGACGAGAAGTCGTGAGAAGATGGGCGAGAAGTAGCAACATGAATTAACGTTCGTCGACTTGTGATTTTTTTTTTCACATGGACTGTCTGCGCACACATACTTGTGATGAGAGCAAGACAAGGAAGGAGAAAAAAAACAGAGCAAACAAAAAACATGAACAATCCAATCCTGATCCTGTATACCCTGTCCAGTGCCCAGGGCCTACCTTAGCCCAGTCGTGTGGATGGGGTTCATTTGTGTTCACCGCTCCACCTCTCGATTTAGTGGCAAAACGGCGACAGCAAACAACAGTCATTTGTTCATTCGGATCTGCCGGGCGCCTTGTGCCGATACACCCCTTGTATGGATGGATCGACGTACGAACAGTCATGTATCATTTTTCATGCTCCAGTCCTTCTTTTTACTTATCAAGCTTTGAATCAAAGAGGGTTCTCGAAATTATGTTTCCGAGCCCCTCCCTTGGTGAACAAGCTTTGCGAATTAGCCACACTCACACACCCCCTGAAATGGATCATGAACCCTCCTTTTCATCACATTCAATACCTATTCCTCCTCTCAAAGACAACAGTGACAAGTCTGTGGTTCTTTGACAGAGTTTAACGACGCATGGACATTGTGGTAGCCCTGATGGCGCCCTTGACGATGTAATCTGTGCACACACACATGTGTTTGTTCATATACGACGAAGCTGTGGAGATGCGTGTGGATACATAGCAAACAAAAGGAACAAACAAAGAGAGCACGATTACTTTTCTGCCTGAACGTTCTTTCGATCCACAGTTCACACCTGCATGAGGATCGACAATCACGTTTCTCTTCCTCCTTTTATGAACGAGCGTGAAACACGCTACAAACAATGAGGAGTCGATTTTTATGAAAGAAAGCGAACACCTCACTACCACCTCCTGTTTTTGCGGTTCATAAATAAAAGGGGCCTTTTTTGATGGTATTTATTTTTCAAATAGTAAAGCATCGAAGACAAGCACAAGTATTTCCGTATCCCTATCCCTATCATATCCTTATTGCTATCACTATCACTGCCCCTATCCTTCCACCCAATCCTGATAAAACAGACACAAAAACCATACCTCCGCCATCAACTTCTACCCCCATCGACTCCCACTCTCCCACTCTTCCACTCCCTCAACACCGACGGCGACAAGTCAACCCTCCCAGGACTCCAACCAACTCAACGATACTCGAGAGCACCAAGACCAGACGAGTAGCGCAAGGAGCAAGACAAGCAGTCTTGGAAGCTCGTCTCGACGCATCCAGCTTATTGCCGAGGGCGGGAGGGGTTCGGGTGGGGCGTATCGACGCGCGGCGGGACATCACCATACATGTTCCATCCCAACATATTGACCAGGTTGGCCAAGCTCCCCCTAACAGGATGAGGTGTCTCGATGTGTGCAGGGACAGAGTAGACAACAGACTCTCCCTCATACAAGGAGCGGGAGTTGTTCGTGTGGAGGTATTCGAGGACCTCAATCTGGTCGACCACTTGCTGGGGGCGTGGGGCTTGGTAGCATCGAACGCTGGAAAGTTCAACTCTTGCTGATGCAGAGACGGCGGCGGCGGGAGCGCCTTGGCTGAGTGGGAAGCAGGGGGCGAAGGGTACTCTTGAAGAGGAGGTGACCGCAGCGGAGTGAGGAAATGTGATGGGCAGGACGCCGATCTGGTGTGAAGGTTGGGGGCTGGCAGGGGCTTGGTTGGGATCGGAGGTGGGATATCCATAGATGTCGTACTCTCCGACATCACTGGTGACGGCGGCAGAGGGTTCAGAGCAGCGGAAGAGGCGGCGGAGAAGGCCAACGAAAATATCCCGCCATTGTTCACGATGGTGCACGTGGATAATCACTACCAACTCTGCGAAAAAGCACAGAGAGGTAGCAAAGACGGACATGATGTACCAGGTAAGGATATCGCATGCGGGGCTACCGTGGATACAACCAACTCGCTCGGCGTAGAGGTCACCGGGGACGTAACTGTGGGCCACGGAGTTCTTGGTGTCAAGGTAGGCGGAATACCATTCAGCACCCAAGGACAGCCATCCGATGAAAAGAACGGGGGTCGATGCTTCGTGCAGAATGGCGATGCGGGGGTCGGACATGCCGGTAAACAGGGGAAGAATGATACCAACCCAGTTTCTGGCCTTGAACTGGGACGAAGTGAGGAACACCTGATATGCCACCATCAAGCAGATGGACGCCACGAACAAGATGTATAAGATGTTGTGGAATATGACCCGGAAGCGGATGACCGTAAAGTCGCGATCGGTGAGAGGGTAGGTGTTCATCTTGTAGATTGGAAGAGTGAAGAAGGAGCGTCGGTTAGTGGCGTCTGAACGAGAACCGAAGGGGGACCTGAGCACCATATTGCAAAGGAGTGGCAGGGGTTGTTGCTTATGGGTTTGGAGTGGTAATTATTGTGCTTGAGATGCAAAAGAAAGGAGGAGTGTCGAGCTGTGGAAAGGAAAAATGAATGGTAAAGAAAAATAGACAACAACTGGAGGTTGCCGATGAAATGGCTAGTTTTATACCCGTCTCCTTCTCTTCTTCTATCCTCTTCATCATGTCCACGTCCTCGTTTTGTTTATGTCTTTTGTTTCTTCTGTTTAACCATCATTGTGCCTGAGAGGGTGATGTGGAATTAAATAGGACTAAGATGAAGGTGTAGTTCGTTTGCCTGTGCTTTCTTCATGTAACGGGAGGTCCGAGTCAACGCTGGTGATGGCCGAGAACGGTATTGGGCTGTCGTTCGACAAGAAGAACAAAAACAAAACCATCACCTGCAACAGTGGCTGGCTGAGGGCGTAGGTAGGGAGGCACGGAGAGAGAGAGAGAGAGAGAGAGAGAGAGAGAGAGAGAGAGAGAGAGAGGGCCGCACTATGCCGGTCGGTTTATTTTGTTTGTGTTTTTCGGCTTTTTATTTCAAGCAGACATTCTTGTTCGATTGCTTCTGTTTCTGTCAAGGATGAGCTATGAGGGACGACGAAGAGTGGAAGAAGAAGAGGCCGTCAGCATCGTCAAGGTGTCACAGGAGTCTGGCGTCCGTCTATGACTGTTCTCTACATGTTTTTTTTATCTGTTTAGGGATGAGTCGTCGCTGAAAAAAGCATGCTAATCCTTAGCCAAGCGGGCCAATTTAGTATGCTTGACGAACTGGGAACAACGTAGAACGATTCGCTATCTTTTCTTCTACAGTTTCGTTTTTGCTGGGGTGGCTAAAATGCATGCAAAGCGCAATGCAGGTGCTCAAAGAGCGATCTATGATAGGAAAAGTGTATCCTCAAAACTAGGCTCCTCTCCACACCCCACACTTCCTTCCCTTTCCCTTTTCCTCCTTCCTCTCCTTTCCTCTTCAGCACCACCCACAGTTACCAAAAACCATTCTTTTTCGTTCTCAAGGGCACGGGAATACGCGTCCCTTTTCCTATTTATTTCCTCCGCATTGAGTACACGTAGGTAGTTCAATACCAAAGTTGCATTCACGAGTTGTATGTTCATCATGGGCTGATTTGGTCGCTAAAGACATTGCGGCGGGATATCCAGGGGTTACATGATTGCTGGTGCAATGGGTGATAGGGATCCAAGGGAGGCAAAGAAGAGTGAACGGGAATTATTATTTGTGTATGAGTGCATATAGAAAGAGTGAACGGCAGAGGTGGAAGTAGAGTGTGTGGGAGTATCCCCAAGGGGTTTCTTCCTTTTGAATAGAGCAGATTAAACGATCGCTCTTCCTCTTCCTCTTCCTCTTTCTTTGTTTTCTTTATGAGGGGAGATGGAAAGTGGTAGTGGTAGTAGAGAGGTTGAAAGGGAGGCAGAAGAGACAGAGATGACGTACATGACGCCAACGCGTCTGACCTGTTCATGTTTCACGGCTTTTTTTTTCCAGACACACGCAAATTCATTCCGCTGCTCTTGTCCGTCAACGATGGACTTACGAAGAGCGGCCGACAGCAGAAGAGAAACGGAGCCACCAAAATCGTCAAAGTGTTCACCAGATGCCGAGTCCGGCGAGAGCTAGCCTCGCCTCTATGTATTTGCTTCCTGTTGTGAAGAATGGGTTGAGACCAATGAAATCGAGGCTGCTTCTTCAGCAAAGTGGAGTTTCACTTACCTAGGGGGGGGGGGGTTTGCTTGGTTCCAACAGCGTTCCTTGCACAAGAAAACCAAGTGCGTTCAGTTGGGTCTTTCCCCCATCAGCATCCCTCCGCCTCGTATTTTCCTCTCTCTCTCTTCGTGTATACTCGTAGTCTTGAACATGTTTTTCTATCAGCAGATTTTGAAAGCGAACGCGTCCTCTTTGTTCCTTTATTTTGGAGGCGCAATGATTGGATTGCGCAAAAATAATGACGAGAGTGTCAGCAAGGAGAAAGCAAAAGAAAAAAAAAAAGAGCAAACCTAAGGTGTGTGTGTGTAGATATGTATTGGTGTACTTTGTATGACGAAGTTGCGGATATCCACTGTGGATACCCCTGCAAACAAAAAAAAAAGATGACTACATGTCAGTTTAGCCTTCTTTCAGATCACGATCCACACCTGCTATCACGATCCTCACTTCTTTCAGGAATGAAGGCAACAACACGTAACGAGACTTTTTTTTTTTCTTGGTCGATTGAAAGAAACGAGCACCACGTTAGGAGTACCTGCTCGTATATAAACGGACCGCTGTTCATTACGATTTTTTTTTATTTTTCTAGTCGAATTCTAAGAAAGGACGGTAGAGGCGGACGTATGAACAAAAAAAAAAAAGGCAAGAGCGAGAATAATGAACAAATCGAAAGGATTAAGAAAATGAAGATGCGAGTACAAACGAAAGCCAGAAAAAAACAAAGCGAGAACAGATAGAAGTAACAACAAAAAAAAAGAAGGTATAAAGAGACCAAAACTCAACGAGCAAAAAACATGCATGTGCGTATGTCCATCCACCCATCTCAACACTACACAAGAAACCCTCTCCTCCACCTACTCCTCCACCATCCCCTCTGCAAACGACAAGGACAGCTCAATCCTCCCAAGACTTCATCACCAACCCAACGAGCTGGATACCAGGAACAGCAGGCACAAATGACAGGGATGGCCATCCTTGGAAACTTGAGCGACTTGTCGAGGGCCTCCAGATTCGTGGATACCCCAGGTCACCAACTTACTGCTGGGGGTAGTCAGGGAGGGGGTCGTTGGCATACTTGGCCAGCTCTAGCATCTGGGTCCTGGCGACGGTACGGTAGGCATGCAGGCGACGTTCACGCAGAAGTTTTCTGTACTCGTCCAAGTCATATTGGCCGTACCGGTAACCGACCTCCTCGGTCTCATCGTCGGCAGCATCAGTGTTTTTGTTGCTATCGTCGTCGTTGGCAAGCGTTTCCTCGTCAGACTCTTCTCCCTGGGTCTGGGAGAAGGGTTGTGGCTGGAAAGCTTCCTTGACGGCGGTACCCTGGTCAGCAGCGGTAGCGAACTGGGGCTGAGGGAAGGAGGAAAGCTCTGACTCTGACAGGGCGGTGCCCTCAATAGCATCCTCGGCAGCACCCTCGACAGCATCATCGACGGCAGAGGCGACAACAGACTGGGGCTGGGGGGAGCAGGTGGACTGGTCGACACACTCGGTTGCACCCTCGAAGGAACCCTGACCGTCAGTCTGAACGGCTGCAGCGGCAACAGCGACAGCAGGCAGGAGCAGATCCTGATCGTATTCGATGGAATGAACCATGAGTATTTTAGTAACGACAGGCTCGCAGTCCACATATTGGGCATGATGTGAATAAGGGATATAGACGCGCGATCCGGGACCGGACATATCCAATCCCAACATCTGAGCGACGCTGGTGAAGCTTCTTGTGAGAGGGCGTGGGATGTCAACATGAGCAGGTGCGGAGGAAACGAATGAGCCTTCTTCTTGAAGGAGGAAGGGGTGATCCTTGGGGAGGATCTTGAGAAATACTTCATCCTCGTCTTGGTCAAGGACAAAGTGACTGAGAGTCGTACAGGCGCGTAACGAGGCCGAGCCATCGAGCTGGCTTGCGTTGTGGGGGATGACGGGTGCATACGAAGGAGGGCTAGGCCAGTCGGAATGCAAAATATCGATGATGGTAGGAGTTTGAGCGCCAGAAGGAGAGGCTTCACTGAGACCGACGGAGTAGTAGTCGTAGGTTTCAAGGTCAGCGATTTTTTCAGAGACGGGGGCGGTGCGAGAGGCAGAGGCGGATATAGCAGGGCTGCCGAGGAGACGACGAAAGAGACTAACAAAAAAATCGCACCAGTCCTCCCGATGTTGAATGTAAATAATCGAGACAAACTCTGCAAAGAAGCAGAACGAAATGCCGAAGATTGTCCAAATAAACCAAGAGAGGAAGTGGCAGACTGAATCGCTGTGGTAGCAACCGACTCGGGAAGCGTAGGCGGCATCGAGAGCGTAGCCATGGGCCATGGAGGTGGTGGTGTCGGAAAAGGCTGATTGCCACTCGGACGCAAGGACCAGCCAGGCCACGAAGAGGACCGGGGCGGAAGCTTCACGCAAAAAGGCCAGGCGGGGGTCGGACATAATGGTGAAGAGAGGCAGGAAAAAGCCGATCCAACTACGACACTTGAACTGGTGCTCTTCGATCATAACTTGGTAGAGAATGGTGGTCCACAGACCTACGGCATGTAAGAAGTACATGATATCATGCGAAAGGGTCATGACTCGGTCGACTTGACGGTAGCGGTCAGTGAGGTTCTCCAAGTTCATTTTCGTCTCCGGGATGGTGGCGAGGGCGCGCCGGCCTGTGGCGTGCGAAGGGGTGCCCATATGGAATGAGACGGAAGGCATAGTGGAAAGAGGCGATACGTTCTTATTGTATGTGTGCGTGCGCGTGTGTGAGGGTTGGGTTCCGAGGCCGTTTGTGCTGTTTGGGCAAAAGGAGGAAGGGGCGGTGAGCTGTGAAAAGGCGCGGTGGGGGAAGCTTGAGTGGCGAAGAAAAAAGAAAGCAACCTCGGTCTGAAGTAAAAAGCCGGCCGGTTTTATAGCGGTCTCCCCCACTCTTCTCCTCACCTCTTCTTCATGGCCACGTCGTCATTTGTTTATGTCTACTCTTTTTCTTCTGTTTAACCATCACTCTCGCTTGCAATTGTGAGAGGGTAATAAGGAAATAAATATTCTTGGGGCTGAGGTGGAGCCCGGTTTGCCTATGCTATCTCCTTGTCGCGATGTTGTAGGGTGGTCGTTGAGAGGTCCGAGCCAACGCTGGTGATGGCTGGTGAGTGTGTTAGGCTGTTTTTAATATGGAAACAAAATCATAACCATCAATTGCAACAGTGGTTGGCTGAAGAAGTAGGGATGGAGATAGGGAAGGAGAGAGGACGAGAGAGAGCTGCACGATGCCGGTCAATTTCTTTTTGTTCGTCTTTTCCGGCTTTATTTCCGGTATTCATCCTTCTTCAATCGTTACTGTTTATTTCAAGGATGGAGCTATGAGGAACGACGATGAGACAAAGAGATCGAGACGCCAACATCGTCAAGGTGTTCTGCAGACAATAGCGTACATCGAGAGCTCTTTATACTTGTTTTTCTCTCCGTTGTGGAGGTAAGTCGTCGCCGCCAAGAAAAAGCGAGCCATTTCACTCCCATTTCTCTGCTTGCGAGGCCCATTGTATGTAACTGCTGTTTTCCGACGTAGTGCGTTAGTTTAACCAGCGATCTAGGCGTATGAAAAGAAAGTCAGAGTGCCTCAATATGAGCCCTCTCTTCGCACATCCACTCTTTCCATACTATTCCTTTCTTTCTTTTCAGCTATATCCCAGTTGTCAATCATGTATCTTCATTCGCGGGTTCGAGAAAACACGTCCCTCCGCGTACTTATTTTTATCCGCATTGAATACACTCTAATTCATTTCCCTAGACGCGTCCTCGTCGTCAGTTCACCACAAGCAGCCTTGGTTTTCAAGCGTCTAAATATCCAAGCGGATTCAGTGATTGGCTAGTGCAAAACAATGACGAGTGTTGTCAACAACAAGACAAAATCAAATGTTGGGAAAGAAAGAGAGAGTGAGTGAATGGAGGTGCATGTGTGGTAGGGTACATCTCGGGATGGTTTCTTTGAATAGGGATAATGCGATTAACATCTGCTCCTTGTGGATGGGAACGCTCGAAGATGAGGGTAGCCGCCTCTAACAATGTTTCCTTCTAGAAACCTCAATCGACGACGGCGATGGCAACTAACAGCCTTCAGTCATGTCAAATCAAGGCAAGCTAAGCCAGGGACGATAGGGAAACAAAGACCATGGTAGGGCAAGCAAAATATATGCATACTGACGTAGGTGGCTCCTCCAACCCTATGGAATGTTCCGTTTTAACCAATTTTCTATTCTATTCTATGGCTCTTCTTCCATTCATTCGCACGCGTCTTCTATTGAGATAGTATGATCCCCACAAGTCCATACGCTCACAACGACTCAGTCACAATCAGAAAACGCGGGAATTACGGCTTTGGTTTGAATGCTCGCGAAAAATGCCTTTCTTCTCTTCGATTACCCTTTAATTATTTCCATAAGGAATAAAAGGGGTGGGGGGGGGGGGGGGGGGGGAGAAAGGACTATGGGGTGTAAATCGGAGGAGGAGGGAGAGTCGCAGTGTCAACAGTAGTGGCAGAAGTAGCTGTGGCGCCTGGTTCCTGAGATCCTGGTTCCGAAGCATTCACTGAAGGTAGAGGAGCACCACTAGCGGTGGTCGTCACGGTGTGGGTAGCAGACTCGGATTGCATCCTTCGAGCGACGGCGCCAGCAAGCCGTCGTGGCGGGTGGGTGACGTCGACGATCAGAGGTTGCCCCCTGGGTCTCCTGCTAGCGTATTCTGGGAGAGCCTCTTCTGCCTCTGCTCGTCTTCCTACTCCTCCTAGATAGCCGTGATCGATCGTGTCAGATCCTGCTCCTGTTCCTGTTCCTACTCCTGTTCCTGCTCCAGTCCTAGTAGCCAACTCCAGTTCATCCACCGACCTGTCATCATACTCCAGACTATCACTTCCTATTCCTGCTGCTGCTCCTCCCACAGGAAGAGCGGTCAGATCCGGCTGATACATAACAGCCTCCTGCACCTCCTCATCCGCCCTCTGCTCATTCCACTTTCGATCATTCTTCTGCTTGACCATCACAAAACTCTCCCAAACCAACAAAACCGCCCACCCAGTCTGACTCGCAGAAATCCCCAATTGCATCCAACACCTCATCCTCGTATACCGAAAGAACTCAGCCTCACAACCACCATTAACAGGCACGATCCGGATATACTGCGTCAACGAATAATACACTCCAGCAATCGCAAACCCCCAGGACAAGATCGTCAACCTAAAATTCGAAGTCAACCACCAGAACCGTGTACCAGGTTTGTAGAGCATGTAGAGGGTTGCGGCGAGGAGACAGATGTTGAAACCGAGTTGTTCAGAGTCTGGGAAGAACTTTTCGGTGGCGGCTGTGTTGTCGTAGTTGACGTCTTCGGGGTAGGAGGTTGTGTTTGGAGGCGGGGAGTATTCGGGAGGTGCGGAAGGAGGTGGAGTGTCTTTGGAGAGGCGTTTCCCGATGAAGATGCAGATTATGTTGGAGAGGGCTATGAGGCATATTAAGAGCCGGATGGGGATCAGGAGTGGGTAGCAGAATCTGTACTTCATCTCCTTGTTATGTCGTCGTTGTTTGTTTGTCGCTTGAGAAGGAAGCAAAGAGGAGAGAGAGGAGGGGATGGACAATGGCGGAAAGAAGGAGAGGGGAGAAAAGGAGACAAGGAGAAGAGATGGACGTTGTGCGAGGAGGAAAGACGTTAGAACAGAAAACGACGAGGGCGAAGGGGAAGTCAGGAGAGCAGCGGTGAGAAAGCGAGAAAGAGAAGGGTGCAAGAAAGAGGGGACGTGTGGGGGTAAAGAAGGGAAAAGGAGAGAGAAATGAACAAAGTGTGTGAGAGGATGAAAAGATATGTTTTGTGTTTTGGAGTTTTGTTTGTAGAGAGGAGACCATGAGGAGTCGACAAATTCGATCTTCGCATGACCTGGACGGTGGCGAGTGGTTTTTTTTTTTTTTTTTTTTCGTTGACTCGCCTCGTTGTTGAATATGCACCCACTAGTAAACAAAGGGTGTATTTTGTTTGGCTTGTCAAATTGGCATTATGCTTGTGGGAGCGAAAGAGAGGGGTGAAGAGTGGTCCAAAGCGCATAACAATTAAAACCCGATCAAGGAGAGCAGAGAAAGTAATTTTGGGTCATGACGGGCAACAAGGAGCAAACGACAAAAAGGAATGCACGAAGGATATGAGGATGAAATAAGCATTTTTGTTGCTGAGGCAAGGTTTCTCTAAAGGGTTGTCGTGGCGGTGCTGTGGTTACATGTGGCTGCATGTGTGGCTGAAAGGGACCGAGAGACCACGTTTAGTTTCGCACCACAGAAAAAAGAAGCAGAGCCCTGTGGCATAATGGGCTGAAGTGCGTAGGAAGGACGACAGGACCTAGACTGGCATGGACACACGACGTCCAAAGGGTAATACTGTCATGTCGTACATCCCTTGTGCACTGCTACCATTTCAATTGGGTATGAAAGAAAAATCCTCGTCACCGAGAAAGGACGGGCCTACTGTCTCCGGAGGATTGTCCAAAAAGTCGAAACACTGGACTATCATGCCGAGATGGGTAAGAGGAAAAAGATCGACTGGACAATTGGATTCACCCGTTTCGTCAAGGGTCTAACGATAAATATTTGTTATTGTGGTTGTCTTGTCTAGAATCGCAAAGAGAAAATAAAGTGTCCCATGTCGCAGGTGCCACTTTCTCTTGGAATCTTCTCTTTTCACGTTGAATTACATGTGCGCAGTGCACGATCTTTATTAAAGTTGGAGGATTAAAGTTGCTGATCATGGTACATAGAGAGGAGGCTCTGGTGCTGGTGCTGCGTGGCTTGATGGACTAGTAGCAGATGTCGATGGAGGCGATAAAGAAGTAGGGCCAGAAGACGGAGCGGAAGGAGGAGCAGGCGAAGAGGAGGAGATGGAAAGAGAAAGCTGGGGCGGTGAATATTCGGGAACGTCAGAGGAAGGAACATCTTCATCCCGTGATGATTGTTGTCCTCCCTGCTCGATTAACGCAGACGGTGGTTGTTGTGTCCCCGGCGGTTCTACCTCCGACAGCGTCGACATCGACGATGATGACAGCGGTCTCACGACATTGTTCAGGACTTCAGGGTTGACACTCGCAAGGTTGGACAAGTCAATAATCGTGGCCGATTGCGCTGGGGGTTTCCGTTGGTACTTGGGCAACTCGTCGAGCTCGTAATCATCCGGAATGTTCAGCCGCACTGCTGCCTCTCTATCAGCAGTAGAGCTCGAGATGACTGAGGTTCGATTGTGAGGGGGAACACCATCTTCTGTCGGAGGGGAGAAGTCGAGACGGGGCTGGTAGAGGTGGACTGCTGCTGGGGTGGTGATATTGTCACCAGGTGCCTCGTCTTGAGTAGCACGTGCCCTCCTGTTGGCAGCTAACGTTTCAGCCTGGAGTTCTTGCTCGGATTTACCGACAAAGAACGTGCAGATCGCCTCTGAGAGTAACAGGATGGCCAGGAGGACATTGAAGCCCTGGACGACCCAGAACAGGTTGGAGTAGTCTTGGAGGAGGGGAATGACCTTGCCGGCAAAGAAGAGGAAGATGCCAGCAAGGACGGACGAAGCAAGGAGTTGTCCATAGATGAAAGGGAGGAGTTGTAGTTTGAAGTAGGCGTAGAAGATGGTGATGATGCAGACGTTGATTTGGGGTATGAGGAGGAGATCTGGCTGTGTGGATCTGCTCGAGTTTTTGAAGCCGATCGATGCGACGATGATGAGTGAGTTGCTCGAGGACAGGGTGACGAGGGCTATTCGTAGGTTCTTGGTAGTTCTTGATGGGAGTTTGAATTTCATTGTTGTCACTTGTCGTTTCTTATGTGGGGAAGGAAAGGGAGACAATGGATTGCCGGGTGGGTATGGGTATGGAAAGTGGAAGAGGAGGAGTAGGGATAAGAGTGTTGATTAAAGAGAGGAGGTGTGGATAGGTACAAGAATAAGAAGACAGAGGTAGGGCAAGGAAGGACGAATGCAGTTGCAGAGGAAAAGGAAGAATAATGATACCCGTCGAGGAACCTTAAAAAAGGAGTTGAGGCTGTTTGAGGTAGGCAATGATGATGGTTGTGAATAATGAGGATGGGGAATCGTTTATATACTTTTTTTTTTCCGGTCAGTGAGACAAAAGTGCGCCATAATGCAAAAGTTCCGATCGCCGTTGCGCGAGCGAGTGACGAGTCCCATTTTCTCTTGTCCTTGTCAAAACGTCAATTGCTGGTTAACGACAACGACGACGACGGCAGGTCAACCTCGATCAAAAAAAAACAAGGACGCGAGACGAGTGGCGCAAGAATGCAAAAACAAAAGAAAAAGGTAATGGAAGAACAACAAAGAAGAGAAAGGAGGGAAAAGGGAAAGAAGTATAGCCGCTCCTCTGTCGCAAATGCTTATTTTTCCACGCTTTCTTTTTTGTCCTTCTCTCGCTTCTTGTTTTTCCCCTGCGTTTTCTTTTTTTATCCTCTGGCCAGTCGCAACAGAGGGATGATCGTCATAGTCGACTTGCTCTGCGTTCATCGCCCTCCTTTGTCCTGCCTTCTTGCTCTGCCCTACCCAGCCTCGTCAGTCTATCTGTCGCAAATCATTCCCCCCCTTTTCGCCTATATCACCCAATTGCCTTTGTGCCGCACACATACGAAATAAAAAAAAGCCCACATATATCGCAGTATTCGTGGTCGACTTTGATGGTATGTTGCCAGTCACCTATCATAGACCCTAATTTTGCGATCGCTCAGCTCGCGTTTTTGGGCTTTTGTTCCGCTTTCTACTTTCTGCTGTCTAGCGATCAACCTACGACGCACGTCCTTTGAGAAGTGGCTCCATTGTTTTGCTTCCTTGTTCAGGCGTACGCGAATCAACAAGCCTTGCGATACTGTGTCAGTCCCATCCATAAAGGTCGTCTGCTTCCAATAGAAGACCGATCCCCCTGTCACTCGATTTGCGCTCATCACTGTTGCAACTGATGTTTTAGTTGTCTTATCTGATCCCGTATTGTCGATGCCTGTAATTAGCTCTTTAGTCGTTGAATGAAACGCAAATGGTGCTTCAAACGTCCAAGGATGTCCTGCAGCGCTTGCCACCCAAGTCCTTGATCGCCTTGTCTAGAATGTTGGTTGCTGTTTCCCGATGTTTTCAGGCGAGCTTCAGTTTAAGCGATGGTTGGTCGAACATACATATCAGGACGTAGATGAATTGTGCTGTCATTTGATTTGTCATTAAGTGTGCAGTCTCTTGACTATGGTGGTTGCTGAGAGGTGGCGAGCGTATGCCTCGTTTCTGGCCGCTGCTTTGGAGGTAACTATCGTTATATCCCTACATTGCTGTTGTTGAAGGCTGAATGAGTTGGAGTGATGAATGTGGAGCGAGTTCTAGGTCAACGGGACTGGCTGAGAAGCTGGAGCACACGCTATGGTCGGCCAGAGGAAAGATAAAGTTGCCACCAAATCACACAAGAGGTAAAGAGCGATGGTACTTTTAAGGGGCTGCGACGTCACTTTCCTCCTTCTTCCATGCCCCTGGTTGAACTGTCTACTTCACCGTGACAAGATAGATGGTTGCCCCTGTGTGCCAAAAAAGAGAGGAGAACAAGAAAACCCACAGGTGGTATTTTTTAGCACTTTCCATTCTTTTTGCATCGCTCCCTCTCTTCACTCTCACCCTCTCGCCCTCTCGACTGAACAAATAACAAATCACACCTCTCCGCTTTTGTTACCTCCCTCAGTCATATAAAACACTCTCTCAACAACACCATACTCACCACTCACACTTTAGGTACTACCTCAAAACGAAGCGACAGGGCGTGGAAAAATACTCGACAATTACACGCGTCGACTTTCGTTGTGTGTGTGCTCAACAAAACAAATATGGAACGAGCTGAGCGCAGGAGACACTCACACGCACCTGGACGATTGGATAACATACACTCGTTCTGTGAAAAAGGTGCTGACCTTCGCTGTCTCCATCACCTTCATTCATGTCTAGCAGCTTATACCCTCCCACATTACAACCCACAATGGTAAAATAGAACTCTTCTTTCTGTTGTGTGTTGTGTGTTGAATGCACATATGACGGCAGCGTCACATGCAGACCCTTTTTTTCCCCTGACCTTGCATCTGACCTCGAGCCTGACCTGACTTTCTTTTCCCTTTGTGCGCAACTTATGCATGCTACTTCAACCAACGACAACTTTTAGGCTGGAGCTTTGAGCAACGCGAAGAAGAACCTCATCAGGATCTCTGACCATGAAAACGAGAAGGACTTTGGATACGTCTATGGTGTCTCCGGTCCTGGTATGCACAACCCTCTTTCCGCTATCGGTTGACCCCTGGTTTTTCTTTCCTCGAGCTAGTTTATCTTGCCGTGACAGCATGATCGCATAGATTGGTCCATATGATCAATAAGTAGCACCAAGGAAAAGCGATACTCATAACCTATATCCTACCTTCTTTCTGCCCGTAACGCAACATAGTCGTCGTCGCCGATAACATGCATGGTGCTGCCATGTTCGAGTTGGTAAGTAACCACGGAGTTGATACTCCCACGATTGGATCAGGCCTTGTTGCGTGGATGCCACTTTGAGGATATCAGATCGAAAAACTCGTTCCCAATGCTCTCTTTTGTTCGATTCTGCTCACACTGCTATTTCGTCATGTTGTTTTGTATATGTGCCATCGTTTAGGTCCGTGTTGGTCACGACGAGCTGGTCGGAGAGGTCATTCGTCTTGAAGGACACAAGGCCACCATCCAGGTCTACGAGGAGACTTGTGCGTGACGTTTTATATTTTCCTTCACAAGAGCGGCCTTTTTTTATGCTTTTTTTTTTTTTTTTTTTTTTTTTTTTTGATCTCGCATTGGTTGACTATCGACGAGGCAATCATTCAGGACGTCTTTTACTCATCTCTACTGCGTCCCTTTTATTCGTCTTCAATTGCATTTTGTAGCCGGTTTGACTGTCGGCGATCCCGTCCTTCGTACTGGAAAGCCCCTGTCAGTCGAGTTGGGACCTGGTCTCATGGGCAACATCTACGATGGTATTCAGCGTCCCCTGAAGGTAAAGCAATCGTTCAGAGAGATCGTGATTCGATACATAGTAGACGACAGTTCCTGGACTGAACCGGCATCGGAGTTGCTCATGTTTGACTTTTCTATCTACTTTATCCTTGACTTTCTTAGGCTATTAGCGATCAGTCCGACAGTATTTACATTCCTCGCGGTATCTCCACCGTCGCTTTGGACAGGAAGGTCTCCTGGGACTTTGTTCCCCAGAACTTCAAGGTACATTGGTATTATTGCCGCGGAACATAACCGTACATGTCTGAAGGAAGGAAGCGGAATAATAACATGCTTCGAATTCAATTGCAACATATAGGTCGGCGACCACATTACTGGAGGCGATGCTTATGGTGCTGTCTACGAGAACAGCTTGGTCACCAACCATTTGATCACCCTTCCTCCTCGTGCTCGCGGAACCATCACCTACATTGCCGAGAAGGGCTCGTACACTTTGGAGGACAAGGTTCTGGAGATTGAGTTCAACGGCGAGAAGCAAGAGTTCACCATGATGCACATGTGGCCTGTCCGTACGCCTCGCCCTGTCGCTGATAAGTTGGTTGGTGACTACCCTCTCTTGACTGGACAGCGTGTCTTGGATGCCTTGTTCCCGTAAGTCCTTGCTTGTTGCGCAGAGTCGATTATATACTGTTGGTGTTGCCATGGTGTCAAAGTGCTGTATCTAATTCTTTTTTCTTATTACATTTTGCAGTTGTGTTCAGGGTGGTACCACCGCTATTCCCGGAGCTTTCGGATGCGGAAAGACTGTCATTTCTCAGTCTTTGTCCAAGTACTCCAACTCGGACATCATTATCTATGTCGGATGGTACGTGTGTCTAATACTTAATATTCAAGGAGGCCGACTGGATTACATTGCAGGATGATAACAAAGGCAGACACGTTGCTCACCGAATCCTTTGTACTTCAACCAAATAGCGGTGAGCGTGGAAACGAGATGGCTGAGGTCTTGATGGATTTCCCCGAGTTGTCGATCCAGGTCGGCGGTCGCCAAGAGTCCATCATGAAGAGAACCACCTTGGTTGCCAACACCTCCAACATGCCTGTCGCTGCTCGCGAGGCTTCGATTTACACTGGTATTACCCTTTCGGAGTACTTCCGTGATCAGGGCAAGAACGTTGCCATGATGGCTGATTCTACCTCTCGTTGGGCCGAGGCTCTTCGTGAGATTTCTGGTCGTCTTGCTGAGATGCCCGCCGATTCCGGTTACCCAGCCTACTTGGGAGCCCGTCTTGCCTCCTTCTACGAGCGTGCCGGAAAGGTCGTCTGCTTGGGTAACCCCAGGCGTGAGGGATCCGTCTCTGTCGTCGGAGCTGTCTCGCCTCCTGGAGGAGATTTCGCTGATCCCGTCACCCAGTCGACTTTGGGTATTGTCCAGGTCTTCTGGGGTTTGGATAAAAAGCTTGCCCAGCGTAAGCACTTCCCATCGGTCAACTGGTCAGCATCGTACTCCAAGTACACCAACGTCTTGGCTGGTTTCTACGAGAAGGAAGATCCCGAGTTCATCTCACTCCGTAACAAGACCCGTGAGATCTTGCAGGAGGAGCAGGATTTGTCCGAGATTGTCCAGCTGGTCGGAAAGTCTGCCTTGGCTGAGAAGGACAAGATTGTTTTGGAGGTTGCCAAGTTGATCAACGACGATTTCTTGCAGCAGAACGGATACTCCAACTATGATCGTTACTGCCCCTTCTACAAGACTGTGTGGATGTTGCGCAACATGTTGTTCTTCTATGACCAGGCTGTTCACACTGTCGAGTCGTCGCAGAACATCACCTGGGCCAGGATCAGGGATTCGCTCGGAGACTTGGTTTACAAGCTCAGCTCCATGAAGTTTGAGGATCCCGATGATGGTGAGCAGGTCCTTCGCGAGAAGTACTCTAACCTCTACAAAGAGATCGAGGACAAGTTCAGGTACGTTCATCGATATAATATTTTTGTACCGCGAGTCATGTTGTTATGCATTTGAGTGCCATTGACTAATATCATCGTCTTCAACATTGTCATCTGTAGGACGTTCTTGGACTCGAACTAAGCGACGCATACGAGAGCAATATAACAGCAATATTACAGAGACGGGACGGACGTTGCAGCACTACATTTCCCCCTTTTTTTTTCTTGGAGAACGTTCGTCCAGAGACGCCCAGGCTGAGATTTTATTTACATGTTTGAAGGACAGACGAAAAATAAAAAAGCAAAGGAAACAAACAAACATTAAGCGGGTTGAATTATTTTTTTCGTTGTTCTTATTTTTGTTGAGGGCTCGATTGGCAGGAGGTGCACGCGCTGCTATTAGGGTTGAGTTGAGATAATGGCGTTGCGGGAGACAAAGAACATTTGCGGGACAGGAACCGGGAACGAGATGAACTGGACGATCAGTTGCTGCACCAGCGATAACGACATCTATTATTTTGCAATAGTGAAATGGGTAAAATCAACAAAAGGGTCAGGGTCAAGTTGAAGTATAAAATTGATCTCAGATCGTTGGTTGAAACAAATACACATAGTGCTTACCTCCAGAGTGTCAACTCCGCCTCCTTGAAGGTGCTGATCGACATAGCCAAGGGCCTTCCGCGTCGAGGCCCGGAAGACCTCCGCCAAAGTCCTGGGACCACCAGCACCAAACACAGAGGATCCCGAACCCGAACCCAAATCATCGGCATCAAGTTCCTCCTGATCCTGATGGTACAGCAGCGGGATCAAGAGTGGATCGATATCAAAGATCTCCTCATCTTCATCGTTATCAGCCTGCTGTTGGCCGTCGCCGTCACAAGTAGTCCGACTCAGCACTTTGGTCAGTTTCTGGAAAGAGTATGCCAGAACTAGACACATGGTCTGCAAGATCTCAACCGCCGCGTCTGATTGTTGGTCTGATGAGAACTTTGGGACAGAGTGTGAGGATTCTCCCGTCACGATCGAGAATGACGTCGTGTTTTCTGCTCCGCTACCATGAGCCACGCCACTGCCAGAGTTGAAATTTGACGTGGATGAAGAGGATGTTTGGTTGGCGGTAGTCTCCTGAACAGCGATCCGGGCACGGAGTAACGTGTACTGGTGGGCGAGCTTGTTCAATTGATCCGCGCACTGGTACAAGGCTCGTTCATCATTCGGAAGTGGGACGAATGCAACGTTGGAGGAGAGTGCACTGTTGCTACTATTCTTCAGACTGTGGTTGACAACACTTGACGTCAACAGATGGAGGGTTGTTACGGCCTGTTGGCATGTCTGGAGGTATTCACGCCTCAGCGAGCACAGCTTCAGCTGAAATGATCTGTTCATAGCCTGATTCCCCTCAATTTCCTATGGACAGAGCAACACGTACTTGGTTAGAACGATGAACGACGGAGGCAGGGTTATATGAGTAACAGCCACCAATGTGCAGGATGAGATTCTTACCTCAAGATACCCGATGATCTTGACATACATCTGCTGATGCGAATACAAGTCCACAACGCTTCCTTCCGAGTCCTCTCCGGTCTCCATATCCGCACTCCCACGACGTGACCGTATCACAGGTACGGACGAGACAGTCTGAAGAGAACTTTCGATCAGGGCAAGCGTCTGGACGGTCGACAGCCACAGAGCATGAGGCACGCTCCGAAGTCCCTTCTCCAAATTCTTGAACGCCATCGTCGCCAATGAGGGCCAGCCAGTCTGCAACGAATACCGACCAAGCTGGTAGAGCTCCCAGTGATTCCGCGTCGGTTGTTCCTCCATGTCCATCTGTCCGAACCGCTCAAGTAGTGACGAAACGCGTGTCTCAAGCGCCTCAACGCCTCCTGCAAATGACCGACGGTTAAGCGATAAGGATTCCAAAAGCGCTCTGTACATCACAGTCTACGAGGAAGCGTAAGACAGATCGTTAGTAACTGCTTTGATCTCATGTAAACATATGTACTGGCAGCAATGTTGAGCACTGTGTCACTTACGAAGCTTCGTGTATCAGGAGAATCCACTCGACTCTCCAATAGAGCCAAAATAACATCTTGAAGTCCATGCACCACCTTCGGTTGTACTTGCGCCACGTGCAAAAGAGCTTTGGACAGTATCAACGACAGATCTATGTCCATAATGAAAATATCAAACCCATGGTTAATACACACACCAGGATGCATCATTCCTCACATTGGATGAAATTATTATGGGTAGAAACAGCTTACCTTTGTAATCCTCTATCCATCCCAGAATAGTCTGGAACATTTTCTCCGCGCCAGATTCCTCCTCCAGAGTCAACACAAGCCAGTACCGAAGCACAGTTCCTGACTGACTCGATTCCTCCTGCGAAAGAGCTCTGGTTCCATCCTTGAGAGGGCTCCAGAGTTTCACCAAGAACTGACCCATCGACTGAATGGTTTCCTGAAGAGCATCCCGATATGTATGTTCCGCTGCCTCCGACCACTCGATGGCGCCACCATGCTTATAACTTGGCAAAAGTACCGATAACAATGCATAGGACTCTAGTAACAAGAGCCGCAATCCAAATTGTGAAAGTGATGTGGAAGTCGTCGACCGTTCCATGATATGTAGCGCCATCTCGATGTATCCTGCCATAGTCTGTTGTCCTGCGTCAGGCAACATCAACAGCGAGGCCATGACTCCTGCCTGGAGGAACACCTTGTGTAGTGTTGACACAGCTCTGAGTGTCGTCTTTTCGTCCTGAAAGTCCAATGCGATGTTGAAAATAGCCTGTAGGTAGCATAAGTAGAAGCTGAGAATTAGAAAACAGGAGGAGATCATAGTGCGTCACTGCGAATCTATCAAATAATTCAAAGTGGAGGGTATACCTTGATCTGCGCAGGACTGAATTCGATACCCCTCTGGGCCAAAGATCCCAAACACATAAGCGAGACACGTCTGATTCCCGTGGACAAGACCGATTGATCCTCGGCCTGTTGCAACAACAACTCGATCTGCTCAGGGACATCGACCAAAGAATGCGACGCCAGACGAGTCAAAGTCCGAAGAATCGCCACAATGTATTCGGTATCCTGTGTCAACTCAAGAATATCCAGACAAGTCTTCCGGGCAAGTCTCGCAAGCGTAATATCCTCAAACATGTGTCCAAAGATCCGGATCAGTCGTCGACGGACTGGCAGAGGCGTCTTTTCGTCCCGAACCATGAACGCTAACTTTCCAGAAATGATGGCACAGAATCGCTGAGAATGAGAGCAGATCCTGTCTGCAGCGTAGATGGCTGCACTGACCTCCATGGCTTCTAACGAGTCCAACGAATGAATGACCCTAATCGTTCATGTTCCATATGTAAGGCATAGATGAGTACAAGTTCGCTTTTTACGATAAAAGGGAATCATCCTGAGCAAACTTGTTTGATTACCTGTGATACACGTCCACGCGATCCGAGACGATGACAGCCATGGTACCAAAAGCTCTAGATCCAAGAAAGACAGAGTGCCATGAAACGAGTCAGTATCTTCCGCTGTGTCATCGTGTATGTTCTCCAACGAAAGCGATGGTTCCTGAATGAAGTCAAGTTCAGCGTTATAATTTCTTTCCATACCGAAGGGTGAGGGCTCGAGAGAGCGGATCGTTGGACTGAAGCAAAGGCGAAATACGTTTGACAACCTCCTCGACATTCATAATCTTTTGCATATGTCGTTCCGATCTGGTGAACACCTGCAGGATCGCATGTCTTTGCGTATTGTTACTAAAAACAACAACAACGGAGAAGAACGCGTTTTGTTAGCTATTACTTTCAACTTTCTCACCCGCATCCCTCTCTGTACATCCCACGAAACAACATTAAAGACATGTACCTGTTCTGGAAATAATCCGCGAGTTTTAAGAACCCAGAGTTGATAATGGTCGGGTTGGGGAAGTCGTCAAAGAGATAAGAGAACGAGACGATGGCATGAAGACGGTCGGACACCCGTTGTGCCCGGTACTCCGTCTCGAGTTCGAACAATCGCTTGTAGCCGGGGTCCTCACTGTCCTGTGTTGCTGCCATGGTGAGAATTGGAATCTGACAAGAAAGATGGATGAATTTGTCCTGGATTCCGATTGGTTTGGTTGTCGTTGTCTGGACTGGATGAGATGCAGCAAGTGGGGAGATGGGAGTGGTGGGTCGATGTCCTTGCTTGCGATCCTGTCTGGCGTCAAGTGAATCAGGAACAGAAAGAGAAGGAGCGATTGAACCAAATCACATCTCGCGTTTGTGACCACCAAAAACGTTGCCACCAAACTTTTAATCCAGTCCCAAATAATCAAACGAAGAGAAGAGGGAGGGTCAGTGTCGTCCAGGCCAGAAGAGTTCACGTCGACGTGTCACAAACTTTCCATCCACAGCGCCCTCATGCTTCAGAAAGAGGCGTAACTCTTTCATGTACCCCTTCGGTATATCTGACTTGAGGTCCGCAAACACCTGGAACTCTGGTTGTTGGAGTCCTCACATAAACCTCAGTCTAGCCAACTCACTGTCAGTCCAGTTCCTTCGTTTCAATCCGAGAATCAATACCCTCTAACCCAAACACCTCAAGATTTCTGAGCGCGTTCAACCGACGCAACCCTGATACTGGAGAGCTCGGGTTGCTTGACATGCGTGGTTCTGTTGCTGTTGTTGTCGAGGGATGTGTAGAGGGTAAAGAAGAATAAAAAGGCTGGCTGAATCAGCTTCATTTGCACCATTTTTTTGTGAGCCGAGTCATACGCCGCAAAATGCAGGTGGAAAATTGGACTTATTTTTATTAGTCTTCTTCGTTCACTAACGGTATTCTTGCCCTGGTTCATGCCTCACCAAAGGTCGCAACCCTTGCATATACTCCCTCAGCTCTTTGACCTTTGGACAGCGCAGCGCATACTCGTCCTTCTCGTCTGGAGCTTGAAATCCATGCATCACCTGCAGCTTCGGCCAGTTCTCCGCCATCCATGCTAATTCTCTTGTATTGATCCGGTGGTCAACACCTTCAAACCCAATGACCTCCATCTTCTTCAGCGTCCTCAATCGATCAAGTCCTGACTCCAGACTCAACGGGAGGGTGTTAGGGGTCGGACCAAAGTAGTTGTAGTAAATCCGACCATCGACCAGGTGCCTACCAGGATCGCTGCCCATGATGTCGTACCAATCCACGTTGTCAACTCCTAGTTCAAGAACACGAAGTTCTGTCCATCGTCCTAGTTCGTCGTATATGTGCTGATGATGATCCAATAATCGTCCCTGCCTTCTTATACCCTTGGTCTCCTCATCCTCATCCTCGTAGTCGTCGTTGTTGTCATCCTCTACTAGGTTCTCCCACGGTTCATCCTCCAATTCATTGTCGTGGTCTTCCTCCTCCTCCTCTTCCTCCTCCTCCCCCTCTTCATCCTCCTCCCCTATCCCTGTAATCTTGCACCGGAAGACCTCCATACCTCTGCAAACAACCGGCTTCTTCATCAGAGAGTTCGCCTCAACCGTGTGCCAGATCGCATCCAGATGGCGGAGTCGAGAGCAGTGGTGTAGAAGTGGCGTTATGGAATCCTGGTCCATGGAGTCGTACTTGGTCGTCCTGAGTTGGAGCCATTCCAGTTGCGAGCAATACTTGGCCAATGCTTTTCCGGCCGCCTGGGTAAGGGTCTGTAAAGTCAGTCTGGTCAGTCGGGGCATCCTTGGTAGGATGTCAAGGGCTATGAAATCCCTCATCGACGACGAGGAAACGCGACCCGCACGTACGAAATGAAAATCCTGGACACTACTGTTACTGTTGCTGATTGTCGTTCTGCTGTCGGGAAGCATCTCGTTGCCCGTGGCTGTGGATCCCAGAGGTGGATGCACAAAGTTCCAGATTCCGTCGAGCGAGAGCTGATCGAGGTTGGAAAGGTGTCGTAAAAGGTTCAGGACAGTCGTGTGCAGCAGAAACGGTTGTACGCATTGGGGTCTTCGCAATATAGTTGAAAGTTGTAGTGTCCGAAGGTGGGGGAAGACAGTTGTCAATTCCAGGTCGGTGGTGGTTAACCTGTAGTCGATCCAGCATATTGGACCCGAATAGAACGAAAGTGCTGGGAGGTGTTCCAACACCATCTGTAAATCGATCGCCGCCATGTTGTTGACCAGCTTGGTGAGGTTGCGCAGCGTGGCGAGAGCCTTAAGGAGAGAGGGCACTGGAATCGGAAAATCATCGAGCTGACACTCCTGCGCCAACTCTATGGACTTGAGAGACGAGTTGTGAATGACCAGGGACCAAAACCTCTGGACAAAGTCCCATACTGACAGATTTCTATACTTGCACTTCCGTGTGGTGGGTGGCAAGAAGTCCTGAAGCAGAGGAGGAATCCATAGAGGCGTTGTTCCTCGAACGCTAAACACCGACTCACTGCTGAATCCCGAGGGTTGGACGACAGACAGTGATTCTAGACCGGTGACAGTTCCTGCAGCGCTAACAGAGGTGATCGTGGTCGCCCATCCGGCAGTGAGATGTCGGATGTGTCTTCCATGCTTTGTAAAGACGTTATTGAGCCTTGAGTTGTCGCCATGGAGAAAGCCTGGTGCTAATGGAGAGAAGCGCCGAAGAATCTTGGGCCAAGAGTACAGTTTGTCGTCGATTGTTGCCCAGAGGGTTGGCATGAAGTGCTGGTTCCAGACCCGACATACCTGAACACAGGACAGGAGATCCCGAGTGTTCAAGTCTTTCCCGATCAGATCCAGTAGTTCTGGCAGGTAAAAGGCACTCGTCGGCATTAAGATGGAGTTGGTTGACATGGTGGAAGGTGATTGACAAAAATAAAGAGAAATGGAGGTCGATGAATCTGTTTTGCAGGGACCATCGATTGGACACCGCCCCTTCAGTTGTGTCGCTAGCTTGGTCGAAAGTCTATTCTCGCCACTAATTATTTTTTTCTGCGCTAAGTGTTCCTTGGGATACGTCATTCTATCAAGGTTTCTGGTTCCTCGATGTTTAGCCTCGCTATTCTCTCAGTTCTCATACTCTAACCATACTCGCCTCTTGCGTCTCGTTCCTATCAACCGATACCACAATACCCTTGTTATGTACCCTAGTTAGTTCCACCTTGTTCTGCAACCACGGTAAGTTGTGTTCAAGTGAAAGAGAAAATCGCCAACCCAGAGCACCAGGCAATTGTCCGCTGTCACCCTCGGCAAGAGACCAGCCAATTTGTCCACTTCAAGAGACTTTGTGTCTTAGAAGAGCGAGTCGATGAAGCCCAAGGTTTACTGTGCTGAAGAAGTGTGCAAGCACTTTGCCGCTTGTATTCACAAGTCCCACTTTAACAGCAACTGTTGGAGACACTTAGAGGATTGGACGATATGGCGTGAGTTCAAGTCTGCGGAAGAAGCCTTGATGGCGAAGGAGAAAGTACGACCGCAAGGCCACTATTCCGATTCGATCAGATCAAAGGGCCCATCGACGAAGCAACCTCACGATGGCAAGCTTGCATCAGCGTTCCGAAGAATGAGCAAGAAGTCAAGACAAACGAGGAGGAGACGAAAGTCCGATCGGTTAGCGCTACAAGCGTCAAGCTGGCTCCGATACTGAAGACGAGAGTGAGGATGAAATGGATGATGATGAGGATACCTATGGCAATGAGAATTCCTATAATGACAATGCAATAAATGGTCGCTTCGGTTCCTCTTCCAACCTTCCATTACTTTCGCATGCCAACCCATTTATATATGTTGAAAAAATCTGCTCTGCAATCAAAGCCTTATCCAAGGAGAAAATCGTGTGATTCTTCCGATTGAGATTAACGGTCATAGATTTACTGCGCTACTCGACCCTGGCACCACGGTGTCCTTGATCAGTCCTACTGTAGTTGAAAAACTGGACATTGAGACAAGAACACTCGAAACCCCAAGCACTATGCCCGCCGATGGTTCTGAAGAGAGACAACACACAAAGTTGAACTGTTGTGTGATGAAAATACGAATGTTTGTCATGGATCTTAATGATTACAACTACTTCGTTGGCATAGATCTTTTTAACGGATTTAAAAATCCACTTTTAGGTCCATCTGAACAATACAAGGAGATTCTCATTGAGAACGATGAAGAACCTCAGATCGTAGCACAAGAAAGACCAGAGAAAGAGATGACTGATGAGTTCAAAGCTGGGCGTGCTCGTTTACTTGAGGCCATTCAACCTCTGTTAGACGAGAATAAGTCGATTAATCCTCAAAGTTTTTGAGACCATCCCCTCATGTCAGTCGACCTTAAGATACCTCAAAGCAGCCAGACACAAGTACTTTACTACAATCGACCTCGGACAAGCATATCATCAGCTACCTCTAACGAAAAACAGCGAACTCCTCACGGTGTTTTCGTTTGAAGGCAAGCAGTACATGTTTGCACGTGCTCCTTTTGGGCTTAAACCCATGCCGAGTATATTTGAGAGAGGCATGGTTGAGTGTACTTGATGGACTGGACTGGGTTGCGGTTTACGTTGATGACATAGTCGCCTTCTCTAAGACAGCATAGGAGCATACCATTCATGTGCAGAAGGTTCTCGAAAGGCTCACGAGGAACAAGCTTATTGTCAATCCAGAAAAGTGCCACTTTTTTTGCTCAGAGATTGTTCTTCTCGGCTTTGTCATTAATGAAAATGGCCGTAGAATTAACCCAAGCAAAGTTGCCAATGTTGACACTTGGACTGAACCAACCAACCATAAGACGGTGCAACGGTACCTCGGAATGTTTAATTACTTTCGCGAGTACATTCCGTTATATTACACTCTGGCCGCTCCGCTCGATAGGCTATGTTATCAAAAAGGAACATTCAAACTGGATGCTTTTAAAGTGAGTGTCCAGCAAATTGAAACTCCTAATGCAACAAGCACCAGTATTGACATTCCCCAATTTTTCTGCGCCGTTCTACGTCGCCACAGACACCTCCAAGTGGGAATTGGATGTGTTCTGTATTAGCTTCCCAATGGACCCTCTGACGAGTTAAAGGTGCATTACATCTCGTTCGTGGCCAGGTCGCTGAAAATTATGAGTTAAGTTACCCTACTTACAAGATGGGCTACTAGGTATGGTCTACACCCTCAAAAAAATTCGCCTACTACCTCTCTGGATGACCGTTCACGCTGTTCACAGATCACAGGCCACTCGCTTATATGCACTATCAAGCAGGCATACCTACCACTATTGCTAACTTGCGTGAGAAACTGCTCAACTTTGGCTTTGAGTGTGTATACCGACCAGGCATGATGAATATTATCCCAGATGCTTTGTCTCGAGCCTTCCCTGAAGAGCATTGGACGAACACTGCATCAGAGACAACGATAAAGCTCGGTTCGAGGTCAAGACCTCTTAAGAAACAGAAGTTGTTCATTGCTGCAGTATCCACTCGCTCTGCCTTCAGATCAAAGACCGTTCCGTCTGTAGACAAGAGCCTGCAATCTACTATGTCAAATCAGATTGCCCATACCTTAGAGAGCGTTGAGGTTGATCCTGCTGCCTCGTATGTCGTATCTCTATTGATACAGCCACACTCACAACGAGTGAGGCAGGCAATGTACATACGCTGTTCACAGTTTATGTATGTACCAGATTTGTCTTCTTAGAAGCAATTCCGGGCAAGGCTGCTACTACTGTCGCCGGTCGCGTATTCAAACTATTCTGTTCGATAGGATTCCCCAAGATCCTTCAAAGTGACAACGGGACTGAGTCTGCAAACCAAGTCTCCCATGCCTTATTGAAAATAATGGAGGTTGACCATAGACTAAATACACCTTACCATCCGCGCGCGAACAGTTTAGCTGAACGTGACGTCCGCAAGGTTGAGGAACTACTGCTTAAATTAATTGCAGGTCAGACGCCTCTATGGGATCTCTCTTTGCCCATGGCGCAGCTACAAATTAACAACAGAGTAACTGGCATACATAATTCCACACCGTTCCCACTATTCTATGGGCGCTCCTTCCCAGGCTTGACTGATGTTTCTTCAGCAGAATCGCACTTCCTAGATGAGAAACAGGCTGTAAAAACGACTGGAATATTTAACCAACTTGGTATATCCAGCAATCTCAGAGAAAGCACGAGCTTCCCAACAACAAGTGATCTCTGCGTTCAGCAAAGCACATCGCCTCGTTGAGTTCCCCACCGGCTCTTATGTCACGTTGAAGGATCCAGTTGCGAGCACACACCCCTGGAGCCAAAGTACGACGGCCCTTACAAGGTTGTGCGGCGCACGCCGCGTGGTACTTATGTGCTGCGAAACAACTTGAAATAGATGTTCTCCCGAAACGATGCCCCTGACCAAATCAAACTTGTTACCTAGTCGTTGGATATTCCTACCCATGAAACTGATCATTTCGACGTAAAGTCCTCAGTCACCGACTCAACGACAAGGGGGAGATGTTGCACAAAGTCCAGCGGAGAGTTTATCCTGAGTCTGAGAATTCGGACTAACAGAGTCAACTAAATGAGACAAAAATCAAAGCTCCTGCTCCGCTACTCAATTTTGTCCTCGTTGCTGATTCTTCCTGCAAGGAGCTCGCCGCCCCTACCTGCAACACCGTCTGCCCTGCCATTTACCAGCATGTCTGCGGCAAAGTCCTGTCCGGCGACTTCAAGACCTTTGGTAACTACTGTGAGCTGAAGAACTACAACTGCGAGCACGCCAACGCCCAGGCCACCGTTGTTCCCAACAATCTCTGCGCGTTTGCTGCCGTTGAAAAGCGCGCCCCTGCCGATGCTGCTCCCGCCAAGTGCAACGACATCGTGTGTGCCGCTCTCGAGCAGCCCGTCTACGTCAAGGCCAAAAACGGTTTGAACAAGACCTTTGGTAACGCCAGCGAGCTCAAGAAGTACAACTGCAAGCACCCCGATGCTGAGTTTGTCGTCATTGCTGAGTCGACTTGCGAGGTTCTTGCTGCTCCCAAGTGCGACATCATGTGTGTCATGGTAGAGGATCCCGTCTGTGCCACCTCCAAGGACGGCAAGACTCAAACCTTCAACAATGCCTGCCTGTTGGACGTCCACAACTGTCAGAACCCCACTGCAACCTTCAAGCTGGTTGCCAGTGCCGCCTGCCCTGCTACCCTCGGTTGCGCTGACGCCTGTCCCGCAGTCTACCAGCCCGTTTGTGCCAAGCTCCAGTCTGGCAAGTCCAAGACCTTTGGCAACCAGTGCGAACTGAGCGCGTTCAATTGCATGAACCCCAAGGCTGCCTTCACCTTTGCTTCTGAAGGAGCTTGCTAAATCACTCTCTGGCTTTTCGAGCACTCTTTGCCAAAAGAAATCCTTCCACCCATTCAACTACAATCAACGACCAGATCCTTAGATGTTTTCGTAGATAGCACCTCTCACTTGCTTCCTTCCTTACCCCTAACACAAAAGAGATACTTTTGACCAGCGTGCACCGATAGTAAAAATAAAAAGATCGATGTCTACCAATATACTTTGTTCATATTCGCCACGGCGTAGAATGATACTAAACTGAAAATGCCGGCTTCGCATCATGTCCGGATAAATGTTACAACAGTTGTGCGGTCAAAAAGGAGTGACCCGAAGAGTGGCCAATGCGTGTTATCGAAGGATACAACGGCATATAAATGGATTGATGGTATCAATTGTCACCATCGGCATTGTTCTCCGACGAAGGTTGTTGCACAATGCAAAACAAGCGAAGAGAGCATGGCAATTATCGCTCCTTCAAACGTTTCTGAGAGCAACAACAAGGACGGAGAAAGATTAAAGCTGTGGGAAGGGGGCCATGTATGTTTTCATTCGCCTTCAGCCATTGTTTGTTTCCGGGACCAAGAATTGGAATAAGGGATAACATCCATAAAAAAGGACCCATGGCATTGCACTCCTCCCATCTTTCCCTTCATTTTTTATTCTCCTCCCACCCATTTCTGAAATAGTCCCAATCCCAAAACAAAAGGCCATGCACTTCTCCACCACCATCACCTATTCAATGGCCCTCATATCCTTGGCCGCCCTGCTCTCAGCTGTCACGGCAATTCCAGCCCCTCATTCAAACCCCACTCCAGACCCCTTCTGCTTTGCAAAGTGTTCGGACAAAGGTGAATATTTTTGTGCCGAGAACAAGAAACATCAACACGCCTGGTTTATCAACCCTTGTCAATTGGGTCATTACAACTGCCTGAACCCGAAAAACACCTACAAGGCCGTGCCCAACTGCGCCTGCAATGACATCCTTCTCCCAGCTCATTGAGCTCCCCCATTCTCCCCCTCTTAGACCCTTGTTACCACAACGATGAGAATAATAAAAAAGCGATGACCTTGTTTCAACAGACGCCACAAGCGCATCCAACAGCCCTATGATCCTGAGGACCAATGCGTTGGCTCTTCTTAAGAATGTAGGCTGTGCAGAAAAAGATACAAAGCAGAAATGTATTTTACTTCTATTTCACTTCATCATCCTTACACCACCAAACACCACTTTCACAAACATGCACATGTCTACATCACTTTGTGCTCGACGGCCCTTGCTTCCATCGATACCCTCTCCGCTATGGCCCACTCAGCTCCCGCGACTGCTGACGGAGACCTTTACTGTTTCGCAAAGTGCACAGGAGAAGGTACCTATGTTTGCGCAGAGAACAAAAAAGGTCAACAGATGGATGTCTTTCGCCAATGAATGTCAAATGGGGCACCACAACTGTCGGTACCCTAAAGATACTTACAGGGTCGTCCACGAATGATCCTGCAATACCATCACTCTTTCTATCCCTTGAGCCGCTCTTCTCCTTTCCTTTCCTCTCCTCCCTCGCTCATTCGCACATTCGTGTAGCACGAACAAATATAATTCGGATTTTTTTTTTTTTTTTTTTTTTTTTTTTGGGAATTGAGTCCAAGTGAGTAAGTATGTTCGTGTTGCAAGAATAGCAATGGGTCTCTCTACCGCCCTACAAAACTGGAGGGTCAGAGCTTTCGACACCACTCATACCAATGTAGGCTGAAGCCTTGTGAGCAAAAAAAGAAGGCGCTACCTTTACTCCAGTTCAAGATCATAACGCCGCAGCCAGCTATCATCGCCGCTCAAAAGGAGAGATGCCAACAACGAAAATCGACTTTCATGAATGCATTGACGACTGTGGCATCTTCCTTACTGCGTGCAAAAAATAGCACCCTATGATTTTTACCGGCACGAGACGGGATGGATGAAAAGAGAATATTCTTTCATTCGAGATCGGGCATAAAAAAAGGGAGATGTATCCCTTCGTCCGTCATTAGTCATTGACAGACTAGGATAAATAAACTATAGTTTCAATCTATAGAGGTTATGAGCTTTGCGGCGACGGTCTTGCAAGGGAAGGGGGGCGTCCGAGATGCTTAAGGTAATGCTTGCCGATGATAGCAATGTTGTGCGCACCCACCAAGTCTCGGTGAATCCACCGCCTGCATTTCACACACGCACAGGTTCTCATCGAGGGCTTAGCAAGTCTTGTCGTCTCACCCATGGAAACGCAGGTTGGGCACATTGTAGATGTAAGATATTCATCCACTAACGCTACCTTGTACCCAAGGGCCAAGCTCTATCAATTTTAAAAAGGACAAATGAATTAATATACTTGTGTATCCAGATCGCCATGGTATTGAAGGGACATACGATACTAGTAGATACGACCACCCGCACATCTTCTTTCTACTCTCTCCATTCTCATTATTACCTTCTGCTGTAGTCTGCGCAAGAACGTCGTGTGGACCGATGTAAGGTTGAACCCTGTCCGAAAAGTCGCGTTTCCCAACGCGAAGAGGACCCTACGCCCTCCCATTGGGTTACTCTTCAATGCTTCTTTCACAAGTCGGAGCACGCCTGCCACCGCCATGTCCATCTCTGACAACTTTGCCATTCTATGTTGGTATACGGCCTTCTTCCAGTCCGACGATGAGTAGAATCCATGAATGATCGGCTCCAACTCGAAATACTGCCGTTGCGCGGATTTGAGGGCGTCCTCTGAGTCGTATTTTGTTGAATGGAGCGCATTCTCAAGATCATGCATCGAAGGTAGAAAAGTTGCCCTGTTCTTGTCATCCGTCTTCCTCGTCCAAAGGCTCGCGTCGACATTATCTGCGGGACCGGCTGCTGGGTGTTGTCGCCTCCATTCCTGTTCCCATGCTCTGAAGGCGAGTGTTGGCTGATACAGTGATGCGCGCTTTACCAACAAGTTGACCACAGTTTTGTCATCGAGACGCACACAGAACGCACCGCTCACGACTTCGCCTGGATCGATGCCAATCACCGCCACCGACTCCAAGTCTTGACCGAATGCTTCAATTATCGACTGTCGGGTTGGGTACTGGTTCTCGATACGTCGTAGAAACTCCTTACGACCCGGCGCCTGCCGACTCTTGGTGAGGTCATAGGCCAAAAGTTGCAGCTGATGGCCGTCCGTGCGGATGAAATTGTTCAATGCATACCGAAAGGAAGACTGTGCGCCTTGGATGTGAGGAGGGGTCGGCAATAGTGGGGGGTTGGAAGGCGGCGGCACTGCAGATGCTGAGGACGACGACGACGATCCGGCCGAGATGGATGCATTGTGTCGGGTTCGGTAATAGTTAATTCGATCTGTCAGGTGTCGTGCAAGTGGTCCTTGGTCATAGATGGTGGGGTGGGCAGCCTTGAGTTCACTCATTGTAGCACTTCGTTTCCCGTATGTTGTTTGTTGTTTGTTTGCGAGCCGAACCGTATTTCGATCTCCAATGAAAAGCATCTTGATGAGGTTCCCGAATGACGTATTGACTTGTAGGTTGGCCCAGTCGTGGCTATGAGGGCTGCCGCTCCAAATCAATCCGACTTGACCTGCATCTCTTCCCCAAAGGATACGCATCAGTCCCTCCTCCCTAATGTCGATAAAGCTGTCTGTCATCTTGGACTGGGTACAGAAACGTGGTCGGTTTGCCGCTGGAAGTGCCATGAGATAGTTCCAGCATGATCGGATGTGTCCAGGCTGATAGACAATTTTTTTCGACTTTTTCCTGGGGTTCTCGTCATCGGCATCATCGTCTAGAATAGTACCGTCATCGTCTAGAGTAGTGCCGTCATCACCAGGTTTGTCTTCATCCTCCTGTTCGACTTTTGGAAGTAGGGCGGGATCGAACTCCAGCTTCTCCATCTATTTTATTGCAAAAAGAAAAAAAGACACAATATTAGAATATGCAATACACTCTCTCCAATTATCAATGGCGCTTCATCAACGAATTGGGCGATTAGTACCTTTGTGCGTATAGTCTGTGGGAGCTTCTTGTAATGCAACTTCATAGCCAAACAGATCTTGGGCGCCAGATCATCGATGACAACACCGAGGGGTATGCTGGATGGGTTAACAGCCTTGAATCCCGGATGGAACCCCTTGAAGGCCGCAAAAATCGACACTGCCTCCGCCTGTGCTTCCTTCGACTTTGGCTTGTTGGCTGTAGGTCCTAGTGCTTTTGTCGAATCTCGGAGAACAAACGACAACAGATTCCCAATAACAATCTCTGCCCAGTCTGAATCCAGAATATCCTCCAGAAAGGACGTCGGCGGCGAACTAGAGAGTAGCTCTCCAAGGATCCGCATTTCGAGCATCTTGTAGACAAAATGCTTGGCAGTATTGACGATAGACACAGCCATATCAAGTCTCTGAGCAACCATGTCGACGTTCGCCGGGGTGAGATCGGTAGCTCGTTTCAGGCACCCCTTGACTGATCCAGTGGTAAGTGTGACAGTGGCGAAAACAGACTTGAATGACTTCTTCAGAGCAGCATAACCAGGCCTGTCCTGGTGATAGTCAAGATGCTTCTTCTTCTTCTTTTTCTTGGCTACAGGGGCAGTGGCAGCTTGTTCGTTGGTGGTAGCGGGATCCTTTGGCTTGTATGGTCGAGGGGTTGATGGTTTCAGACCAGACAATTCTACGTCCTCGACGGGGCTGGCGTTCTCAAGGTTGACCGTTTGGGGTACGTATCGATCTGCTTGATCCGTCCGGGATCGGAATCTAGAAATAAACGCGCCAATGTTATGAAGAATAATATTAGTACAGAAGCAATAGAAGTCAATACAAGTGGCTGGATATAACTGAAGATGACGCTAAAAAGTACTTACTTTGTCCTCTGCCATTTCTGCCTTCTCCTTGACCGGGCGCGTGAGCCATGGCGCATTTCTTGTTTTCTACTCTTTTTGTAGAGTGGAGGTGCTTGGTCGATAATAGGTGTGGGCGCTGATGGTCCTGTATGTGATGTTTGGCTCCTTGAGA